ATGTTGGTACCATGCCAAGCTTCATATCCAATCCATTTCATAGCTGGGGCCGGGGTCGGTGATTAGAATATGTACATATGTAAGGATACTTTTAGCGCATGATTTATTTGTTCTAGACGCATCGCGTTGCCAAAATGCGGTGAGCTCTGATCACATGCAGGACTGGGACGGTGTTTTACTGCTAGTAGTAGTAACATGCCTACACTTACTCCAAAGATCCCGGTACTCAGGGTTTGATGCAGCCACTGCGCCAGTCGACACGCATTCATTATCGCAGAGAGGGTATGATCTAAGAATAGGGCCTTTTTGTGATATGAAACATGGGAGCAGCGAGAGGGGAAAGCGGACAATCAGGATTGCTTATTTCTTTTTGTTCTTGAATATCACATCATATAAGACTTCTTTGTCTAACAGATTTAATATTGTCTCAATTGCTTATCCGCCACTTGAGCTCAGCGGCCTTGACACCGACGCATCAAATTTCATCTCATGCCATTGAAAAAGAGAGAGAGCTAGATTAGCAGCAATCAACTACCTTTAATACGTTATATCTGTATATCATTATGTCATAGCCGTTGATGTTTTGCCGAGGAGTGCCAATCGGAACTTGGATAGTATACCGTGCAGGGTACCTGTTACATAAATTATGTTTCAGCACTTCGATTAGTGTTTATATGGCTGTTTTACAACCATTTCAACCTTTCTTTACTTTTTCTATGTCCTTTAGTGTAATGCTTTCAAGCAGATCAGCCGCTTCATTAAGCCGCCGCTAGAGTGCCAGATAGTAAATCTGAGATTTCAGTAGCAAATTCCTAAGTGAATGCTGAAATCGATTGACTGATTGATCAAAGGACGTTAAGAGCATTCTTGTTGTGGATTGACTGAATTGTAATCGTTCATGCCGAGAAGCTTGGCCTTTGGGGTAGATGAGTGACTCACTACCTATCTACTACCTATCTACCCATCAATATTAAGTCTACTACCAAGCTCCAAGGTCTACATCGTAGCTTTATAATTTTCAATGACACATTTGGACAAATATTTAGTTGTTGTGTCGCGGTTCTTCTGTTAGCTCATTCAATCTCACATCATACAACAAGATGTGAGTATACTTGTGGAAAGTAGAAGTGCCGACGATGACTCTCTATATAAAACTATAAAACCTCATTCAGGGAACTCAGGCTTTCTCGAACTAAGCTCCTCCCTTCAACTTGCACAGATGCGAGTGATAGGCGCATAAGCGATGCTCTTTTCCACGAATTCTCCGAAATGCCGACGTTTATGATAATTTTATTGTACGGCTTGTAAAAAGTATCAGACGACCCCCGAGATCGAGTCCCAGAATAAGGCACTGTTTTACTCATCAAAAAATAATATATAATTCAACTCAGCCGTAGCTAAGTAAATTCCAATCTTCGATCATAGCGTCTTTCAGCGTTGAAATATTTCACGTCCGCTAATCACGACATTAAAACTCTCCATGACAGTTCTCAGAGCTTTTGTTGAAAGTCACGAGTCTTAAATATTGACAAGAGTTTGTTTGATCTAGATTTTTAGATTACATTGTACTCGAAAGAAGTTTATGAGATCCGGCTATTGAAGTATTTATTTACATTACTTGGGAAACTTTGCTAATTCTTTCCTCCAAGAGTAAAACATGTAGTTTTCTTTCTAGACGGATGAACTTTGCATCAGCTTACACGTACTATTATGCTATGGCTAGAAGCTTACCAACTATGAGAAAATAAAAGCAGCTTCCTCAAATGCTCAACCTCCGTTTGGAAGAAAGGCTGATATCTTGTCCTATTGGTGTAGCTAATAGTCAATCCAGAAATTATTGCTCAAGTTCCGAGAAAGTGGACCCACTGGTCACAGCATTGTACAGTCAAAATCAGCCTATTTCTGAACATGCTACCTCTACAATAATATGACTCTTTCGGGCGTGACAACGATAGCAGGGGCGAGCCTGGCTACCTGTATCCGCTCCCGGGGAAATGAATCTTTCCCGGGTCACTCCACAACAGCGGAGGAAGCTGGAAAAAGCAGCTCGATCGACTACCAGGCACCAGTGTAGCATTAAACTATAGGACTAATGTGGACTCAACTTGCTTCATCGTTGAGCTATAGATTCCGGACGTTGCAGTTCGGGATGGAACTAGCGATATACTAACGGACCAGGCCGCTACTAGTAAATACAGCGATTAAGCATAGCAATATGTCTTCCATTTAGATAGAAATAGGTATAATGAGTAGAGCCAGAAATTCAACCAGGAAGATATGGTAAGATAATATTGCAAAGATGAGTTTGCGTCGCAATTAGCCGGAGAATGACGAATCACTGAACTCGGGCAACTCCCGTGGGATCCGGCTCGTCTTATAGGTTCTTGGCCGAACGAATACCGCTTAGGTCCAGTTTCTATTGTTTATGTCCTCTAAAAGGAAGTCATTAGGCAATATGAGTTACCTCGAAGAGTACTGCGGCCGCTACACTCCAAACCGTCCATTCTAGGAATCTCATTAAACAATGGCCGGATCCCACGCGGCGTAGAGTATCCATTTATACTTTAAAATAGGATCAAACTAGGCGTTTACTCATAGCAACGAGTCTATTCCATTCCATTGATGTAACACAGCCTTGTCTCCTGCCTCAAGCAGTAAAAGGCTGAGCTGTTTTGGCCCCCTGTGCTTACTGCCCCTGTATCAGATCCGTTAGCTGCCTACAGTCGAAGCGAACGCCCTACGCTTGCAAAATTTTCTAGGACTAAAAACCAAATACTACTGTCGATTCATATTAGCTCAGGAACTGCTTCATCGTGCTGTTTCTATCGTAGGCTGAAGTGTGGTTTGTTCCCTCTGCAAACATGATGGTGTCCTACTTATATCGTGTAAATTCTCGTCTGGTGTTTTTTTCTGCTGAAAGTTGACATTTCCGGCGCTATGGTACTTCAGCATCAGCCGATGCAGATCGTCATGTCAGCTTAAAAGAAGCGGAGCATGTTGTTTCTGTTTTAGGAAAGTTTTCTTCTTAGACGTTTGTGCTTTATGCCCGCTTGGTTCGAGCAAGCTAAGCGCTAAACACCAAAGTAGAAGCTCCAAGATCCAAGTGGTGTACGATCTAGTTACCTATTCCATGAATGCCAGGGGTCGGCATGGCCGTACCTGCAGCGCTATTAGTGTTTCGAAGTCAATCGACTCCACGTGGTAACGTTGAATCGCGAATACACCAACGGGGTTTACATCTGTAAGTGTTACATTCGTTCACTGGGACAAGGCGAGAATAACTATATAAGAAGACAATGAAGTCCATGTTCCTCCTCCAGCTCGTCACTCATCACAAAAGCAACATCTCCGACTCCACCAGCAAACAAAACCCACCTTCAAGATGCAGTTCTCACTCTCCATCGCCACCTTTGTGCTGGCCATGACCGCCTCTGCCGCGCCCAGCGTCAAGCGCCAGAACATCATCGCTTCCGGCGACAACACAGTGGGCTCCATCTTCATGTTTGGCGACCCAGCTCCTGCTCGCCAGATTCTGTACACAGGGGGATCTTGTGGCCTCAGCACCTACTTCCCCAACGCGGTTGACCCCAGCGTCCCTCTGGTCGCCATGCCCGCCCAGGTCTTTGACCAGTTCGGCGCTGCCCAGCACAACCAGCTCTGCGCCAAGATCATCACCATTAACCACAACGGTGTCACTCGCCAGGCTGCTGTTGCCGACCGAAACGCTTCCCCCTCTATTGATATGACTTTGGACCTCTGGGAGGCTTTCGGCGGACACGATGGCGACGGCAGCGTCATCCAGGGCTTCAGCTGGTCCATCGCTGCTTAAGAGATGCCAAGGGAGCGTATGATTGGGGGAACCCGGAACCTGTACATATTCTGCTCTTTTCTGATGTATATATTTTTATGATTCAAAGTCCTCGCAAAAGGGGACTTATGTTTATACTTGACCTTACATAGCTATAGCCAATGCCTACATGACTTTGGATATCACGAACGTTTGCAACTTTCATCAAAATTCGTTGTTTCATATACATTTAAATTTTGGATTGCCTTGATATAGTGAAGTCTGTATAGACAATTTCTGTAGACAGTTCCGAAGCTGTGAACCAGAGTGCGAGTTAAAGAAAACATATAGTTTCAATGCCTAGCATCCGATCAGTGGCTGAATAGGAACCAGCCTGCGCACAAAAGATACGAAGTATATCCATCCTAGAAGAACCAGAGGAAATAGAGGTAGCGTAACGTACATAGGTAGCCTTATTACGATACGGTCAAGATATTGCTACGATGCTGTGATTGAAACTCAGTTCGATGAATTCTCTGTCTTACGGTTGAAGCTACAAAAGACCATCCAGTGATAAAGGTAGCTGCATAAACAATACAAGTCATCATATCAATCAAGAGTCTGTGCACATCTTGCGAAACTACTTTGGACGCAGCAGCGTTTTTAAGATGCATATGCAGCATCTGGCCTCAACTGCAGGCTGTCAGCTGTTCGGCGCAACTCATAAAAGAGTCACGCATCCGAGGTGCAGAGACAGCTAAGGAAGACAGAAGAGAAGACTCGCCCTTCTAATGAAGCACATACATCGAATGAGAGTATTTGCGCCAGGCGACGACAATGGGCATTGAAAATGGGCTATATCATCTATAAGCCTTGCTTGCATTAAAGCTACATCATTCGTACATATTTGTCAGCTTCACAACTTCGTCTACAATCGTGATTAAGGCTAAGTAGACGATTTACAATACGGTTTACTTGTCGTCCAGTCAAATTTGGCCCTCAAGGACCCAGGGCTACAAATTGTATCAAGTCCAAAGAATATATTGCTTGTTCCTCATGTGCCTCTTCTGCATAGTCAAGTAATATACAGAGCGTATCAAGCAAATCGCTCAAATTTGTTCAAAGGTATCTCAAGTGCCTTCAATCTGTTCCGTCGAGTAATCGAAATCCCCTTCATCGCACCATATTCCCGTATCATCCTCCGCAGCCTCCTTCACTCATTCAAATGCTCTCGGATATCCTTCAACGCTGACGCAACCGCTGACATGAACTGCCGTAAGTCATCCTGCATGCCATTAAGAACTTGTACGCCCTTTTCCACGTCGTGGTGGACTTCTTGAAGCTTTGAGCGCTGTTCCAGCTGTGCCTCGTACACAATCTTCTGGATGGCTTCAGTGTGTTGGTTGAGGTGGCTCAGTATAGCATGGTCGCTCAGCTTGATTCGTTTCTGGGGGCTTTCCAGAGCTGTAGATGATCGCTTCGTCTTTGGTGCCCCTAAGTCTTCAATGACATTGTCGATGTTCCAGGGACCACCGGAGGAGGCTGTTTCTGAAGCCACGGATGAAGGGTCGCGATTTTCGGCGTGAATGTCATCTTCGTCTTTGGGATGAGAAGTTCTTGTGTCGGTATGATCTTCATCTTCACTTTTCACACTCTTCACTTTTCACACTCTTGTGTGTGTCCAATGGGGTTAGCTCTCTGGGAGTTTCTCGCGTAATAGCATCTTCTGGCGCTTGAACGGTTGTAGATTCCATAGCACTCTTTTCCATCGTGCATGTCGGAGCTGGGTAAAAGTGTCTGTAGATGGTAGCATGATCCTCGATGACTGAGGTGCCATATTTCTTCTCTATGGCTTCTTTGTATCGCTTCGGTACATCTCCATACAAAGAAGAGAGAAGCAGGTATGCGGGCCATGAAAGCCTGACAAAGTTGCCCGCGTCGTCGCGAGCACGCTGATACAGACTGTGTGCCGTGATGGTTCCTCCATGGCAATCAAAAGGCTTTGTAACGAAATGTTTGATGTGCGTCTTCTGCAAATACCAGAGATATTTTTGACGTTGGCCTTCGTTCATACTGGCCAATTGCTTCCAGTACGCTTGAACGCACCGAACGGCATTGTGGTAAAGAGGATCGGATTCCGGAATGCAGATGTCTTCGATCTCGAGCTTGGGCGGCTTCAGTTTATCCAGCATCGTGGCGGTGTTTCTTGAATCTGAACAGAAGGTAGCTGTATGATGAAGACAGATGAAGATGGAAGATGAAGATGGCAGATGCAGATGATGAGAAAAGAGAAAGAGAAATGACACTTCCGAAGATTCGCGAATTTAAAGAGGTCGAGATGTGTGGCCAGTTGGCAGCCAGGTGGCAGATTCGCCATCATCTATCTAAGTAGGTTGTAGGTAGATATGAGAAGCTACACCTCCAAGTAGAGACACCAAAGTCATCGTGAAAGACGGAGTACTATTTGGCCTTAAAGCACGCACAACCATACCATGGCTCGTAGTTCCGCGCCCCGATTTCATATATAGTTACTCATGAGCGTAGACCGCAATCTCTTCGACTTTGTCCAAATGTAGTAGCTGCCCTAAAGATTGTAAGTGCTTGCTTCTATAAGACTCTACAGATCAGACACAAGTTTACCTTCGAAGTAGCCCCGGGCCTGTGCTGGCAGCTATGCCGCTCTGCTGTCTTCAAGTGTGAACGCAAATCCAAATCCCGTCCGCTCGCAAGACTGCTGTGCAATGCTCAGAGTAGCAAAGCGATGTGTGCCGTTCTTATTCTATGTCTAAAAATAATATAGCGAGATATAAATAGTGGGATGAACCGAGACATATGCCTGACCGGCGTCTGCATTGTCCCTGAATTTTACTTTTCTACCACAGACTATTCCTTTACAGCCTTCTTATTACGTATACTACTTGCGTTTGCCACTCTGGTAGTGGCATGTTACATAAATCCTATTACTGGAGATATGAGGACAGAAATTTTGTTAAAGAAACAAGTCATAACACCAGAGTTCGCTGTTCTTGATGAGTCGAATTCTTGATTCTATACAGGCGCTGCGCGTCAGATATCTCAACAGTACATACTACAAACAATCATCTTGTGAAAATAATATCATTAGACACTTTGACGGGCAAAGCCTAATCCAAAAATAAAAGATTTGTTCAGGGGGGGGGGGAGAAGACAGAATGTCTTCGGCCAACAACATTGTAACCGTGCAGGCATTACAGTTTCCATCACCAACAAACCCAACAACCAACGGCCACTTGCATTAGTATGAGGCATTAGTTCCTCAATGCCTCGCACGAACCTTCACCGTTTTGACGATTCGGGGCTGTCATAACGCAGTCGTCTATTTTTACAGCATGATCGATAGAGCTCTTACGATGAGGCAGAGAACAGAAACTTGTTTCCTGACATATTGAAACAAAAGAAGACTAGTTGTTACCTGAGAGGGGAGGCTGGCAAGGTGCTTCGATTTCACGTAGAACCAACAACACTCGTAATACGACTCTGTACTAGCATCACACTTGCATGGGCAGATAACGTGTCGCGCTGTCTACAGGCATTAGAGAGCACGCTGCATATCTGCGCGGGCGAGGAGATTTATCCGAAATGAGAATAAAAAAATCCTATATCCTCAGTCGACATGGTGTTCGGGAGAATGCATGAAAGAAATGGAGAAGAGCAGCAGAGCCTCTCTGTCTCCATGAGAGTCTCTCATCCGTCCATCGTAACAAACACGGATCGATGCTCTGTGCTTCCCGTCTGTGCTTCTGAGAAAATTCAGCCGTTATCGTTAGATCATTGATACAAAGGACGAGCGCGTTTGGTATGCCGATTGCTACTCCTCTCGCTCACAGAAAAGGAGAGCTTGAATGCCCTTTTGCATAGACAGAAGCACTAGTCTGTTGAATGCCGGTTATTCAGTCACCACGTACAAGAAGTGCTGGTGAATCGACACCATTCCAGCCTGATAAAGAGCAAACAGGCCGCAAGCAACCATCATGGGAGGCCCCATTACCGACTTGGGCCTGACGTGCCCCGAATCCGGCAAGTTTTACATTTGCGAGGACAAGCCAAATCGCTTCGTGGGATGCTGCACCATCGATCCATGCTCGACAAAGGACGGCCTTTGCCCTGATAATGCCGTCCGGCCTGCTTCGTTCGATCCCGGTGTTTACGACCAGATTCTGGCGCAGCAATGCGTGGACCCGGGATTCCTCTGGTACACTTGTCGCGATTCTTCGCCGCCGTTTATGGGATGTTGCTCCCAGATGGGATGTGAGGACAGCGGCTGTCCGGTAGACAAAGTCGGAGTGGCGACTCTGAGCAGCAATGCGAAACAAGCAGCTCCTTTCTTGTCGTCGGACGGCTCGTCATCGACAACAAGCTCTTCCACAACAAGCTCTTCCACAACAAGCTCTTCCACAACAAGCTCTTCCACAACATCGTCAACCTCTTCGACAGTCACATCAACCGCCAGCAGCGCCGTATCAACGACACTAAGCACAGCTACGACCACAAACACGAGTCAAAGTGCCGCGCCACAGCAGAGCACTCAAACTCCGACAGATCCACCCTCGGTGCATAAAGGATTGGACAAAGGGGCCATCGGAGGCATTGCAGTAGGAGCCGTAGCGGGAGTCTGCATGCTGGCTCTAGTTGCCTTTTGGGCTCTTAGGCGACGGAACAACAACAAGAAGCCTCCGTATGCCTTTGCGGTTGGCCGCAGCGGTAAAGACTCGCTGGCCGAGCATCGAGATCGTACAGCGCCGTCGCTGCTAGGAGGCCGAGGCAATGCTGCTGCTGTGGAACAGATGGCGGAGCTGCCACCATCGCCGCGTCTCAAGTCTCCAGCCATCTCGGAGCTGCCTGCTACGCCGTCGCAGCTGAGCATCAGCTCTGGTACGACACCAGCCCCTCGACATATCGCGTCCTTGATGCGCTCCCAAGGTTTCCAAGGTTCCCAAGGCCCAGCCGGCAGAGAGAGCTCAATTTCCGGCTTTTCCGCCCCGACACAGCCAGCGTCGCATATGAAGCAGGAGCAATCACCTCTGATTCACCAGACGCTGTTTGAGCTCGAGGACTCGTCGAGCCGCGCTCTCATGGGGAGACGGCAGTGATTATACAACACGCTTTTACAAGAGCATGGCCAATGGCCTCACTCGCTGCATAATTCTAGCACTATTTCACGTAAAACTACCACCCATTCTTGTATTTAATCCCGCGCGCAGCCCAATGCTGTGTTTGTAATCGCGGCAAGGGGAGAGAAAGAGAGGGGGTGCCATTGTTTATGACGGGCTGTGTGGCTGGCGGTTGTTTCGGGATACGAGGGCGACAGCTTACTAGTAGTAGTATTCATGGTGGAGTTTCTCAGCTTTTTTTACGTTCTGGTCTTGGCTTTTCGCCTCTATTTCGCTCCCTGCCTTTTGGGTTTCCTTGCTCTGTCTTTCTCTATAGACTTATTTTAGCATCGAATCTCGATTTCTCTTTTCTAATCCAATTCTTGCTAGCTGCATCTAAGAGGAAGACCCCCTGGTCCCGCGTTTTCGATTGCGTGTGTCCTGTGTGTGTGTGTATACAAGTGCATGTAGTGTGAAACTAGCAGCTGGGACGTCTCGTATACCTTACTCCATAATTTCTGTAAGCTGTACGTATACAATACGGAAACAGGCAGCAACTCCCAAATTGCAAGTCTCACAACGAAGGGAATGACCTTCATTCCACTGGCTTCCCAACGATTTCCCTTATCGTAGCCAATCAACGGCACCCGCTTGACCTGAGAGGAAGGAAAAAAGTTACGAAAGCGTTGGTTTGCGTGGTCTCGAAAGAAGGAAAAACTGGGAAATTCAATAAATAGAACCAGGACCATGGGAATTATGCTTCAAGCCGCTTCAACGCCTCAGTGGGCATCCGGCTTTGCCTACTCCGTATTTTTGCGAGTAAATTCAAAATTCAATCGCCTGGAAAAGCCGGGGCAACAAGAAAAAAAATTGCTGTCTTAGCATTTCTTTTGTTTCCTGGAGAATGAGATCCGTTCTCCGCTGTCGCCCCGGACATATGTTACACTCAATTCGGTGTCGTAGAGGTCATACGAACGTCATTTGGGTCTAGGCGAACTGATGCCATTCATTCTTGCATGTTTTCCACTCGAGAGAGGGCTAAAAGGGACAAATGAAAGAGATGGCGACAGAATGGCGGACGAAGACGTCCAAGCCACGGGGAAGCGCAGGGTTGGTCCACTTGAGGCGCAGCCCTTATGCGGATTACGACGTGTGAGACACGAACCCAGCTTATTGTATACAGTGTCTCTCTCTCTCTCTGCTTTGCTTGTTTCTATTTTTTGTGATGCATCCGTTGGCTTGTGTACTTTTCTTTTTTTTTTCGCGTGTTTTTCTTTCTTTTCGGTCTCTGTTCAGCGGGCTGTGCTTGAGGCGAGATCGACGATGCCAATGCTACCCCCCTGTTGCCAAGTTGGGCCAATTGCCTAAACGGGACGGCACTTGACGCATTCCATGACCAGCTATAAAGTCATTGACTCTCATTAAGATGCCATGCCAGTTTCAAATAAGCAAAAACTCCTAGCTGTAACAGAGAAAACCACTTGCCAAGATCCCAAAAAAACGGATTCTCTCCGATTTGTATTATGCCCAATGCAACGCCAGCCAGCCGGTCTGCCGGAGGATACGTCACCATTACAGTGCCTTGTCTCCTCCGCGTAACGCTCAGCGCCGATCGGTAGTAACGCCACCGGGAATTAATCCCTGTAGGAACATTCTGCCGCACACCATCTGTGTTGTGTGCGAGACTCGAGGTGCCTTTCTGACGGCTTCGTGCTTTTTTTTTGTTCGTGTAGGCATGTACACAGTAGGGGCCAGCGGGCGAATTGGCAGTCTAACAAGTAATGTTTACGTACCAGATGTATCGATCCATGTCCGTGTGCGTCCAATGGATCTACAGACACTCCGCAATACTAACAAGGTACTCCGTGGTGTGATTATGTTTGTCTGGCTGTCCAAGTAACCAAGACGTTCCCCCAAGCAGCGCCCCCCTTGCCTACGTCAACACTGTGTGTTTGGGCTTCTTCTCTCGTCACTCTTGCTCCCCGTGGATCCTCCAGCTGTGGCTGTTGCATGACTTTTGTTCTCGTTTGGGATAAGGGAGAGAAATTCGCCCGGGGGGGGTTTTTGATCGTTTTAAAGGGCTCATGGCCTCCCTCTGTTTTGATCCTACAACTCACCCCCTTCTCTCCACAGGCCCATATATACCATATAATCTGTTCGTCCCAGCGTCGACTTACATCCTTACATACCTTTGTTGCTCTTCTTTCTTTGACAAACAAGACTCAATCGTTTAAAACACCAAACCATCAAAATGAAGGTCAACACTCTCGCTGTTATTGCCCTCGGTCTCCTCTCCGGAGAGGCTCTTGGCCAGTCCACCAACACCGGCGCCGCTGCCTCTGCCTCTGCCGCCGTCTCATCTGCCGCTGCTGCCGGTAGCTCCATTGCCTCCAGCATTGCTTCTGCTGCCTCTTCCGTGGCCAGCAGCGTCGAAAGCGCCGCCTCTTCCGCTGCCTCTGCTGCCTCGTCTGCTGCCTCTTCTGCCTCTTCTGCTGCCGCCTCTGCTTCATCTGCTGCCTCCAGCGCCTCAACTGCCGCTTCTGGCAGCAGCACCAGCACCGGCCCCGTCAGCACCACCGTCACCTCCGTGGAGTCCGGCACCACCATCCCCCCTACGACCATCCCCGGAACCACCAACAGCCAGACCACCATTGCTCCCACCACTGTCCGGGGAAGCACTCGCCCTGCCTCTACTGTCACTTTCACCACCACCTCTTCCACCGGCCTGGCTATTGCTCCCACCGCTGATGCCAAGCTGCTGGCTCCCATCATCGGTGCTGCCGCCGCTATGTTGATGCTGTAAAGCAATCTCACCATATTTCCTTGTTCACTACTACGACTCCTTGTTTACATATTCGTTGGAGGACCTAATAATATGGAGTGGGAAATGAGGATGTGGATGTAAAGGGTTTTGCTTGTCCAGATACAAAAAGAGAATTTACGCATAATGGACCTACCTACTAATTAATTGGTGTGCTTTGGTGTGCTTTTTGTTTTATCAATAATACCTGTCCACCGGAGACACACGACGGCGTTACTTTTAATTGACCGCTCAAGTCACTGATATTTACAAAAGTGTATGGGTGATCAATGGTTACATAGCTGAAGTGAAGAGCTCAAAAAACAGATTATTTACGCAATTTCTAAAACTGATCGCATCATTCCGTGACTTGCTTATTCAGAGTTACATCACACGAGTTCGTATATGAGCCTGTGTCATCATGGAAGTGTAAAAATAGTCAATTAAGCTCATGTCTAAAAGGCTTAAGTCGTTTAATCTCGAAAGTGAAAGAATGGCATGTCATTGAGATTTACGAGCTTTAAACTAGATTAGATTACCACAAGGTGAGCATTCTTGACATAAAGTTGCCCGGCGAGTTACTTTTCATGTGGCGGGCGCCTCTGGAGCTTGTATCCAACTTTATGAGGGGAGGACATGACCAATAATGACATGAATTACATTGCTTCGATTCGCGAGCCAAACAAACATTCCTCCAATTACAGGTGCTTATGTTTCTATGACATTTTGGACTGTAGATGAGCGAGCGTGTTTGCGAGTCTCCAAAACGCCAGAAATGAAGCTATCGCCAAGTGGAGCAGGATATATTGACTTCAGTTTCAGCTATTTTGCATGAAACAGGCATATTATTGTTCGAAATAGCTTCTAACAGTTGATCATGTAGTTTCTATTACACCTCGCCTTGCTGAAAATCTTTATGGCTTTTCCCGATACTCGTGCATACCCAGGTGCCCAGCCAAATGATACAACGCATCACCCATAAGAAAAAAAAAATGAAACTACCTGTGCCCAACTGTTGCCTTCCAATGTGTGTGCTACTGCACATTCCCGTCTCGAATACTGCCAGTTATTCAGTGCTTCAATCACAAGTCGCTATCCTATCTTGGCTGTAAGAGGATACTTGCATATATGCTCCGCTACAGGCCTTCGGTGGTGTATCTTGACTGCATATCTCTGCCACCCTCGGATCAATATAATGCAGAGCATTGATAGATAATTTATTTCAACTACATTTACAGATTTTCTTGCATCAGCCACAAGGCGAACAGATGTTCCTATGCCTTATTTCACATAAAGGCAGTGTCAGTGTGTGCTACCGCCCAGCCTCTGTGCACCTGCCAACACTTGCACTCGGCTCGAGTTTTGTTGATTTCACTTTCCACAGCTCCTTTGTTTCCTCAGGCAATAAACTGGCTGATGTTATCTTTGCTTCCCAGTTGATGATATTTCCTCTTCTTCATCATCTTCCCACACCCTCTTGATGTGCCAAAATCGCTGAGTGACCATGTCGATGCTCACGCCTTCGCTATCGGAGACGCCCGAGACGCCTTCTGAGGCTGAGACGCCTGAGTCGCCTTCTGAGAGGTCATCTGGGTCGGCCGCCGCCGCAACTCCGGTCAACAATGCCGCTGAAATAGCATATCTTGATGCCGTGATCGACGATAGTTTGATTCCGTTGTTCTCCAGCAGCAGTTTCTCAGAGGATGACGACGGCGCTGAGGATGGTGATGATGAGGATGGAGCCGGCGAAGCTGGTCAAAGCAGCGCTCCCCAGCCCATATCTGCTGCAAAGAAGAAGAATAAAAGGAGGGGAACTGCGGCCCGAGGCCCAACAGCGCTGCCCAGAAACCGGGGCAATGGATTTGAAGGTACGGCATCCCAGTCTCTAACCCGCCGAAAACGCTTGATGCTGAACGACAATAGAGTATTATGCGGATCCGCCTATGACTCCCGCAGAAGCTCTGGAGGAGAAACAAGAGATTTATCATCCGTATGTGTTTGCCACAAGGTCATTGGAGCGTCGATGACATGTCTAGCTAACTCGGTCCCATAGAGACATTCCTTTTGAAAAGTATGACCAACAACTCAACGCTTTATTCCTCCCTGTCTTGACACAGCTAAACTAACACATCATCGTCCAGGCGAATGCAGTCGTGTATCCAGCGTTATCGCTCTCGTCGTCGTCTCCAGCACAACAAAATTCTCTTCTTTGACGAGTACCTTTTCCTTGGCGGCGTAGATACATCCCCGGGAGCATACAATGGGCTCGATCCAAAGGAGCTCAAGCTGCTCACGGCCGCACAGCGTAAAGAAGCTACAACCAGGCATGTAATCCACGAAGGCTCTTCAGCAGGCGAACGATTCTATGACGGAGACGCAACGAAATGGGTCGTGGACTTCTCAAGCGTGGTAGCAGGCTTCTTCTCTACGACTATCATACCCTTGACTGGCCTTCAAAGCGGCCCGCTGGAGGAGGCAATAGACGTGGTGGAAAACTTCCTCCGCTACATCCTTCATCACGATGTCTGCCCCGAGTATGAGGAGGATGTGAAGGGAGCAATGAAGATCTGCCAAGCAGCCAGAGAAGAATGGCCAATGTTAAACGCTCTGCAGACGGCGCTTCCGGGGCTCATCAACCTGGCTGCTACTGAACTCTTCTCCACGCCCGATACCGGCGCCTGGGCTTTTCACCTATTCAAGGTGCATCCTGGATTTGAACCAAAGTCGGTTTTCTATTCATGCATCGCCATGCTTGAAGATACGGCGCCATTTGAGTATCTCTCTGACCACCGTGCTACGCTTCGCGAACAATACGAGTGCACAGCAGAGGTAGTAAGAGTAACTCCTCCCAGTGAAGGAACCATTGACCGGTTCAATTGCCTCCGAATTATGACCGAAGAGGGTACACCAAATCTCCCTCTCGCGCCTATTGGCACAATTACACTCAGGCAAGCTGTTATCGAAGACGGATGGGTCCATCCAGACACGCCGCATCCTCTGGCAACAAGGAATATTGAGCTGTATTTTGAGCAAAACATTCTGGAAAACCTCAGGCCAGGCATGAAGATGACACTGGAGATTGGTGAGATTGGAGGTGGAATCAATTTTGTCAGGAGTATTCGCAACATCGTCCCATCCTTCTACACGTTTCTGCCCCAGGAACTGATGAGAGGCTTCAAGCCCCCGCGCGAGAATGATCGTCCTGCGCCATCTATTCGCGATCCTTCCATAGAGGACAACCAGGCAGTTGAAGATTAGGTCTACAAGACAGATTAATTGCAGATATTAGCTAGCGTTCCTTCGTACAGGAGTCAAATAAACGGTTATTAGAGGTGCCACATGATGCCGTCTCTTGAACATTGTTGAATGATATTATTGTTCTTATAACAGCCTAAGGAAAGCATCAATGAAAACACCAGAGGGACAATGAAGAAAAACAGAAAGAGTTCAAATCCATTGTCTCAGTCATACGTAACACGCCAGTAATTCCAACGCCTTTAAAGCTACTCAAGAAAAAGAAAGAGGTAACACGTAGTAGCTCAAAGGGCAATACATTATCATCTTCGTCCCCACCATCTCGGCAAATCTCCTGTGTAGCATAGTCTCATTCACGCTGCCGCCTTGGTATCTGTATCTTTATCTGCCAATATTGTTCGGCAGTCTTGCAAGTTGGGATGGCCGCAAAACTCTGTCTACCAAACATAGATCACGAGACCAGTCTCTAGTCCTGCGTCTGGACCTTGTGGTCGCCGGCAACAACCTCGGCGTACGAAGGAGGAACGCCTTGGTTCTCGGCGTTCGAGCTGCCCTCTCCAGAGTGCGCCACGCCCTGCTGTTGAGGCTGGGGCTGGGGCGAAGAGTTCTGGTTGGAAGCGGTGCCATAGTTCAAATTGTTTGAGGAGCCCTGGGGCTTTGGTGGCTGGAAGTGAGGGCCATGGGGCTGGACGTAAACATATGTGACTCGGCCGCCTTCGCGGTCGTTGGGGATGGCCTCGTATTCGTAGGCGGGCTCGGGGTACTTTGCGATGATGTACCAGGCGTGGAGGAGGCCTGGGAGGAAGCCGAGGATGCAGAGGCAGATGTTGATGAGGGAGTCGGCGCCACAGAGGCCGCGCTTGACCCAGACTATTTAAAAACGTCAGTATAAATGATGTCGGTCACAGCATGGAAGATTATCGTCTTCTTGGAAGTATGACATATGACATACCAGGCAGCGGGGGGAAGAGAATGGCTAGGATGCCGAGGAAGATGTCGGTTGAACACATGGTGGTCGTTGAAGAGGAGACGGCGTAGATATCGAAAAGTAGTAGCGATGTGTGTGTTTTGAAGTGGTACAATTTAGAGTCGAGATAAACTCAACAGTGTAGATGGATTCGACAAATAATAAACAAGCAGATAGAGGCTGGAAGTTGTTTGTGGCCCTACCAGACGAGATGGATAAAGGCGCGAAGTGGGCTGGTGACGGATGATGACGCTGGGTTCGCTGCTTATTGATAAGGTTGCGTAATGCTGGGGCTGGCTGTGGCGGAGATGATTGGCTGGTTAGGGAGGAGTTGTGGGGGTTGAGCAATTGACAGAAGGGTGGGATTGGCGGCCTCGAAAATGCGGCTTGGCGATGGTCTACAGGGTAGGTGGATAACTGCGCATCTGGATCTGAAATGAGTCTTTGTAGCTGCCTGGATATTGAATGATGGTGATGGTGATGGTATGTTCTTAGTCGCTGGTTAAGTTGATGTAGACACAGATATTATCGTATTCTGAATTGTCTTATCCTTTGAATTTGGTTGCTTTGTTTCATGACTACCACCTGTTCGGATGGATCTCTCCACTGAGTCATACATACCACCTTGACTATTACGGAGGTGGTGTGATCCATCAGCAGGATAATGCACGACAGCCTATTGCCGCACACGGCAAAGACTTGAGTTGGCGGGACGCAGTACGGGCACCGAATAACGTAACAAGGTGTGGTCGAATGCTACCGTACCCTGAATGAATTGGGTTGCTGTTTGATATACGGGGTTGGTCTATTTGAAGCAATCATGCTTTAATTTCACATGCTCAGAAGAAATGATAGTTAATGAAGTAATCTGTGAGCTTGCGGTATGCAATTTAATATTGTAGGATATAAACAAGTAAAACCATGTAGACCTAGTGATAGGAAACAGGTAGAGCGGCTGCAAGACAGATCCGGTAAAGCAGCCTCACCGGATATACCCGACATTTACCCCCGGTGAGATGGCGTTGACCTTGACTTTTCCAACTTGCAGCAGCCTTTGCCGCTAGCGCGTCTGCCAATATTCGACATTCTATCGATTCTATCCTGCTCCATGCAGGACATCCAACCGCAAGCATGGATGACCTTTTGAATCTCGAGCTCCTGTCCCTCGTTTCAAAAGTCACATCCGAGCTGCAGAACCATGTCGGCATCAGTGACAAGACGCTCGCCGAGTTCCTCATCGCACAGCGACTCGAGAGCACCTCCAGCGATGACTTCCGCAAGAGGCTCGACGGGCTCAATGCCGACTTCCCTGCCAGTCTGGTGGACAGTCTAGATCGTCTGGTGGTTGCCATGCACCCCAAGTTCAAAGGACAGAATGGCGCTGCACACGACAATGAGCACCATCACCGGACGTTTGAAGAGAACGAAAAGGTGTTTGGCGGACTTGCTTTGCCCGACAAGCAAGTCGGCTACGACGACGGCGCGAACGCTATCGACGATACACTGGCGCTTCTAGAAGGGCTTGAGGGAAAAGCCAGAAAAGAGAAGAAATCTCGGAAAAGGAGTAGAAGTCCAGACGAGGAGGGTAGAGATTCGAGATCGCGGAGGCATAGATCAAGATCCCGAGACCGAAGGAAGCGAGACAAGCACAGATCGCGGTCGCGGTCGCTTGATGAAGGAAATGAAGACTGGCGGGATGGATTTCGGGATTCGAGAAAATCGCGAAGTCGGCGGAAGTACGACGATTTTGATGGCGACGACCACGACGAGTTTCGCCGCGCTCCCGCACCAGAAATGGACGACGAACCCATTTTGAACAAGATTTACGAAGGCCATGTCACTGGTATCAAGGATTTTGGCGCTTTTGTCAACTTGCATCACGTCAGAGGAAAGGTCGATGGCCTGGTTCACATCTCTCGCATTGTCTCTGGTCAGCGTGTAAACCATCCTTCCGATCTGCTCTCCAGCGGCCAGCAAGTCTGGGTGAAGGTGATTAGCATCGAGGGTCGCAAAATCGGATTAGCCATGAAGGACGTTGACCAAGAGACTGGCATGGATCTCCAACCACAAGCACGACTTACAACCGGCGCAAATATGGAGGCTCTTGGTGGCGGTGGAAGAAACGGGTTTGTCGACAGTGCTCCAGCAATGCCTCGCGATAGCTTGGGCCCTCCTAGACGACAAAAGAAGAGAATGACCTCACCGGAACGCTGGGAGATTCGACAGCTTATTGCCTCGGGAGTAGCCAAAGCGTCAGATTATCCCGATCTCGAAGAGGACTATAATGCAACGCTGCGTGGAGACGGCGAAATGGAATTGGAGGAGGATATTGACATTGAAGTCCGAGAAGAAGAGCCGCCGTTTTTGGCTGGTCAGACCAAGCAATCTCTTGAGCTTTCGCCAATTCGAGTCGTCAAAGCCCCTGATGGATCCATGAACAGAGCTGCCATGGCCGGCACATCACTAGCCAAGGAGAGAAAGGAGCTCAAACAGAAAGAGGCGGAAGAGGCTGCTAAGGAAGAATCAAAGGAGAGCTTATCGGCTCAATGGAACGATCCGATGGCCGATCCCGACAAACGCAAGTTTGCCAGCGACCTAAGGAATGCACGAATGAATGCCAAACCGGATGAAGAGCCTGAATGGAAAAGGGCAGTTATTCCCAAGGGACAATCGCTGGGCAAGCGAACAAATCTCAGTATCAAGGAACAGCGAGAAACTCTGCCCGTCTTTGCGTTCCGCTCGCAACTGATAAAAGCAGTGCGAGAGAACCAGATCTTGATCGTTGTCGGAGAGACTGGCTCGGGAAAGACGACGCAACTGACCCAATACCTGGCAGAGGCTGGATTCGCCGAAAATGGCATCATTGGCTGTACGCAACCTCGTCGTGTCGCCGCCATGTCGGTTGCGAAGCGTGTGGCGGAAGAGGTTGGCTGTAAACTGGGCGAAGAAGTTGGATACAATGTTCGTTTCGACGACTGCACCAGTCCTGCTACAAGAATCAAGTACATGACAGACGGCATGCTGGAGAGAGAGATTCTTATGGACCCTGACATGAAGCGATACTCTTGCATTATGCTTGACGAGGCACACGAGCGAACGATTTCTACAGATGTTCTGTTTGCGCTGCTCAAGAAGGCACTGAAGAGGAGGCCGGACATGAAAGTTATTGTCACCTCAGCCACCCTTGATGCTGATAAGTTTTCTGCTTATTTCAACGAATGCCCCATCTTCACGATTCCGGGCCGAACATTCCCCGTCGAAATTTTATACTCTCGCGAGCCCGAGTCCGATTACTTGGACGCTGCGCTTGTTACAGTGATGCAGATTCATCTGACAGAGCCCAAGGGCGACATTCTACTCTTCTTGACTGGTCAGGAGGAAATCGACACGTCATGCGAGATTTTGTACGAAAGAATGAAGGCTCTTGGGCCTAGTGTTCCAGACTTGCTCATCCTGCCCGTGTATGCGCAGCTTCCTAGCGAGATGCAGAGCCGAATTTTCGACCCAGCGCCTCCTGGAAGTCGAAAGGTTGTCATTGCTACGAATATCGCCGAGACCTCCATCACCATTGACGAGATTTACTACGTTGTCGATCCTGGATTTGTCAAGCAAAATGCGTATGACCCCAAGCTCGGAATGGATTCTCTGGTCGTCACGCCCATCTCCCAGGCCCAAGCAAATCAGCGAGCTGGTCGAGCCGGCCGAACTGGCCCTGGCAAGTGTTTCCGTCTGTATACAGAGGCTGCCTACCAGTCTGAAATGTTGCCAACAACTATCCCTGAGATTCAGAGACAAAACTTGGCGCACACCATTTTGATGCTCAAGGCTATGGGAATCAATGACCTATTGCATTTTGACTTTATGGACCCGCCTCCCATCAACACTATGTTGACAGCTTTGGAAGAACTGTACGCCTTGAGCGCACTGGACGATGAAGGCCTGCTGACTCGTCTGGGCCGAAAGATGGCTGATTTCCCTATGGAGCCGTCGCTGGCTAAAGTGCTCATTGCCGCCGTCGACTATAAATGTTCCGACGAGATGCTGAGCCTTGTCGCCATGCTGAACTTGCCCAACGTATTTTATCGACCCAAAGAGAAGCAGTCGCAGGCTGATCAAAAGAAATCCAAGTTTCACGATCCGCACGGAGACCATCTGACGCTCCTCAATGTATATAATGCTTGGAAACACAGCGGCTATTCTAACCCTTGGTGTTTCGAGAACTTCATCCAGGCGCGATCCATGCGCCGGGCTAAGGATGTCCGAGATCAGCTCGTCAAGATCATGGACCGCTACAAACACCCCATTGTATCCTGTGGACGCAGCACAGAAAAGGTCCGCCAAGCTCTCTGCACGGGATTCTTCCGCAACGCAGCGCGCAAGGACCCCCAGGAGGGCTACAAGACTCTCACGGAGGGCACACCGGTGTATCTTCACCCTAGCTCCGCTCTGTTTGGAAAGCAGGCGGAATGGATCATCTACCATACGCTCGTGCTGACGACCAAGGAGTACATGCACTGCACGACGAGCATCGAGCCAAAGTGGCTGGTGGAAGCGGCGCCGACGTTCTTCAAGGTGGCGCCTACGGATAGACTGAGCAAGCGGAAACAGGCTGAGAGGATTCAGCCACTGTATAATAAATTTGCGGGCGAGGATGACTGGAGACTTAGTGCCCAGAAAAGGGGTGGAAGAGGTGGCGGTGGTGGTACATGGGGTTAGACTGGAACAACAGCTTTTACTGGGGAAAAATATATCTCTGTGGCTATATATCATATGTAATGCGTGGAGTTATGGGAAGTGGGCTTTTGGATTTAAACATGAGAGAGACTGGCGATGTTTCCTAGGGGTGGTTTGTGATGTATCATAGATGAGTCTATCACGCCGAGAATTCAAGACACTTGAGATGTATGATTTCTCAAAACTTTGTTGCTTATGCTCTAGGAGGTTGATTTATGTAATAGCCAAGATTGTAAGTGCATTACGCTAGAGGCTGTAAATAAATTTATTATCCATCAGAATGCAAGAGTAACATGAAGCTAAAACCATGATTGCGCTGTTGATAAAACTCGCTACTCGTACCTATACAATCCAAATGATGGTCCCAGCACGCCCCCATTGTCCAAATAAGCCAACTTGATACAAACAGGTAAGTATTCCCGCTGTTGTTAATATTGATTCTTTAAAGACTGGCGGTGAATATATCGAATGCCTCCCCGCCTTCAACTTCTAACCGTGATGATACCAACCAACGAACAACTCCAGCCAATGAAGACGACAACGACGTGAAGAAAGCTATGATACGTCTTGCAGGCTTTCAAGTACTCTCAAAAGTCGCCAAAAGCTAATCTTTGCAACGGCAATATTATTTCTGACTACTCCTCGAGCCCGCATAGACCCGCAGCGCAAGCTCAATGGCCTCTCGGTTGGCCTCGGGCTCAACACACCAAAACCTGAACTTGAGGGGATTTGTCCCGTGATCCGTCATGCTTTGCATGACATTCACCAGATTTCGTAAATCTTGCAAGTACAACAGCTGATGCCCATCGAGCCAGGGCAAGTGGTAGCCATAATTATAGAGCTCAAGACCGCCAGTCATTGCTCGTGTCAGCCACGGCGAGCTGTTTCTGATGATGACGGTATGGATATCTGAATCCTCCAGAAAGATTTTAACGTGAACGAACCCCAAAGCGCATTGCATCGCATAGATGCAACCGGACTTTTTGTTGTGCGGAAACTCACTCCTCACGGGCCGCCACACGTTGAATTTGGACTCATGGCCGAAATGGACGCTCCAGGCAACTGGCAGGTGGTCCTCGCCTCGGTCGTGGGCTGCGATGGAGATGAAGATTGTGCCTTCGTCGACCCAAGTATCGCCCGCGTGGAGGAAGGGGAAGTTGTGCGGTTTGAGCTTCCGCACGTGGGAGAATTGCTTCCGGGTGTTGTAGACGAGAAGCTGATCAGGGGAGATGCCTTGGATTTGAGAGGGTTTGAACCAGCGGATGAGTTCCATGCCGTATTCATCAAAGCCGCTGTCCGACGCACTGTGGGAAGGGGCCTTGTGGCTCTCGTTGCTTGATTCGTTCTCGCTGGGATGGTTGATGGACAGATCGTTGAGTTGCTCGCCGAGTTGGTCGACGGGTTGACTGGATTCGCGGTTGGTGAGAACAGTTGGCAAGCCATTGTTTATACCGAAGGAGAGTCTATTGCCTTCCAGTCGATTGGCTAGATCGTCGGCTTGAGCTGCACCGATGGATAGACCCTTGGATAGGACACTGGATAGGGTATTGGATCCATTGTTGGCTGGGCCACTGACTGTGCTGTTTTGTTGACTCGAGAATGAGCGGCTGTGCGGAATATTGGGCGGACTGTGTTGCTCAGTAGTCCTACGAGGGGGAGGACGCCGAGACCTGCGATGCGCGGAGCTGCTGAGAAGAAATCCATGGTCGCCGTAGAAAACGGTCCTGGCTTCGTTACCAAGAAAGAAGCCTTCGCCATCAAGATCCACGGTAGAATCGACGCTATCATCAGAAAGTGTCATCGGATCGTTATTCTCGACAGGGGAAGTGACAGAGTCCATCTTCATGGTACTCCCCTCGGAGTCTGCATCGGCTAGATATATATCGTCCTTGTCCTCATCCATGGCTTCGTTTAGAGGAGCTGCGTCTTGTATATTGTCCTCGTCCATGGCTTCACGTAGATGAGCCGCATCTTGGGGGGAGGGATTGTGATCCATGATGATATTGGCGGTGGAGTTGAAGGTATAAGGAGATGGTTTGAGCGAGTGGAAGTGACTGAGATGAACAAAAGTATTATAGTCGAGCACTGTGGAAGTGCATTAAAAGATGTAAACAAAATGATGTGAATATAAAAAGTGTCAAAAGCATCAGGCTATTTATTTCATGTTGTTTATTTGTATGCATATATGTTTATTAACTTTGAATTGCCAAGGTAGGCGTGCCTGGTCTCGGGTATACAAGAGCAGTCAACAGCACTTGCAGTTGAATCGACGTTGCCCAGGTACCATTCTAAGCCGTCTACGAGACGATATATCTTCTTCTATACTGAAAGTGGGCTGATAGTCTTGAACATAATTCTATGAAGGTTGTTGTAGACATATGTCGTTCATCACTGAAGTCGATAAGAGCTACAAGGGCACAAGGGACAAGTTGATTCTCAGCATGTAAATAGCGGACCGTATTGCATTTTATGACTGTCATCTTGCAACTATAAACCATTTCTTCGCTTAGCAATGGACTAGATATTTAATATCCGGGCCTTGTTTCATCCTGAAATCCATCGCAGTGGTTATTTATGTACGCCGCCGATATGTAAATAGAAAACAACTCAGAATAAGGCCGAGCTGCTCTGCTTCTTGCTCATTCTACTTGTACGAATATCAATGGGTTCTAAAGTGGGGAAATAGATTCGATAGAAATAGAACATTCGATACGACGGCGTTAAGATTGTCTATACGCTATTTTTACACGGATGGCTGGAGTTGTTGGTAAGCACTTAGTATCTCTCGTATCTTGGGCCTTCCTGTGGGTAGTTAAACGCAAAGTTTGCATAGCCATTAACCAGAACAGAATGCGGTGCCGATTACATCTGGAAATGTACTTTGCAGCCAAGGCACTTACATGGTTCGCGAGCTCAGAGCCTCAGAAGAATATCGCGTCAACGCTGTGCTGTCAGGCAGGTTGGACATGTGTCAGGCTGCATGCCAGACATCACCGGCCAACATCAGACTGCGTCATACTTGGGGGTCCTTGAATGCAATTTATTCGCTGCTGTTGCACGCTCGCAAGTGTTAGTGAGCGCTTGTGAGCAGGCCATGTTCGATTTGCTCGCAAGGGAGGGCTGAGCAAGCCTCACAACCGCAAGCGTCAGCGGCTAACGTAGCTGTCTAGGGCTCAGCCTTTGTAGCCTGGCTCCCTTGCGGCGGGCTCTCTCTCAGTGCGCCATTTACCATGGCACAGGCGGATTGAGACGTCTCTCTTCTTTTCACTGCTGTGCCTAGGCGTGATTAGGCTGCTGGCGTCGCGAGACAGTGGCGGTCTGTGGAATCGCGCCGCATTGGCCAGCCTCTCACCGACCAGCTTTGCGCAGCAATCAAATCCTTGCGTTCCAGCCGCACGGGCAGTGGTGACACTATCGCGTGGCGCTCCGGGAGGTTCCTAGTCCCAGATGACCCCCGTCGTGGTCTGTGTCGTGTTGACTCTGTTCTGTGGGATGGAGAACGTGGCTGTGGTTCTGGCGCTGACACGTATTGGGCATGTAGCTTCGCGGTTTGACGCCGTATTAGCGACGATGTGGTTGGACATGTCGGTGCTAAAGGAATCACGCGGGCGGAAAAGAAGAAAAGCAGAGACAGAGTCTCATCGGAGACTCGAGGTGTGAACAAGAGCAACTCTCATGACCTCCATGGTGGTGTAACCGCAAGCTCTGTGTTTCAGTTGTCATGAAGCTGAAGGCGGTTGATGTCATGGCAGCTGAAGTAAAGCGAAAGGATTCCAGGCAAGGTGAACAAGAGGCTCTCGGTGACTCTGCTGCGACCCCTGCATCGCCGCATGGAATCTGCCATATGCACGTCGTGATTTCCATTTCTCGAGGCTCAACCCGGCGCGCTTTGCTAGCATCTGCTTGGTTAGCGACTGATTGCGTGCATCTCCCGCGTGGGACTCGGGCGATGCACCTCACCAGATTTCATGCATTGCGCCGCTTCACTGCTGCCATTGGCTGGGACAGTGGCTGTGCCGCGTTGGGCGTGATGGAGGATGGAAGAAGCTTCATTTTTTACCTGCTCCGAATCTATGCTGTTAACCTCAAGGGGGAGTGCCTCCATTATTTGCCGGTAGCACAGGCACAGCAGTGGAATCGGCGGATGATTCCAGCGAGGGCAGCTGGCAAAGGCCCCTGTAGCTCCCGTCCTGTAGCCCCCAAGATTCCCGTTTCTCGCCAGCTCCTTCAATGCCTCGTGGGTTGTGGCGCGCTAAGTGCCGGGCGTTATAGCGCTGGACTTGCAGTAACACCGAGCGCATTCTCCGTGCAGCGCTCAATGTTACCCGGTGGTGCATCCGAGATTTGCATTGAAGCCGTCCATTGATTGAACCGCTCAGTTTTAGGCAGTTGGCCGCTGAACTGGGGCAAGGGCGCTAAGTCGCTGCCCGTAGTGGGCTATGCCCGAGTCCAGCGGCCCCCAGCGCCAGCGGCGGTCGAAACCGCCACTCTGAACCTGCTCGGAACCTTCTGTGAGCTTTGGCACGAGGCAACGTCTCCTCAACAAGGCATATTCGCCTCGCTCCCTATTTAATATCCCTCCTCCCCCTCCGCTTTCCAACTGAGTCAGCGCCCTATCCTTTGATTGTCGGCAGAAATGGTTGTGCGATTGCTGTGACTGCGAATCTCGCCCCTCATCCGGTCCTGAAACTCCAAAGTAATCTTGCGTGCAGCCGTCCGTGCCTTATTCGGTCGCCAATCACTGCCCTAGTGCCTGACGCAGGACCCTTCCACGCCGTGCTCGTATTAGCATCTGGCATCTGGGCATTGCAAACGACCGGGGTTCAGCGAGACTATATTCCTGCGCCGCTGCCTTCGTTACCCGTCGCCGGATGAACACCGTCCAAGGACATCGCTGGATCGAAAAGGACCTGACGGAACGCACGCCAAAGGAAGACGGAGTAACATCACCAGTCGACGACGAGACAGAAACCATGGGTGGAAAAAAGAGAATCCCCAGTCCGGATCAGCTCCGCGACTATAACTACGCTGTGGCTGGACAGTGAGTTTCACGGCGCAAGAGAGTGGTGGAGAGAAGAGAGAATTCGAGGGCATGCAATGCTAACCTGCTCCTGCGCGACATTAGTGCGGGCACCTTGTGCGACGCCGATGGAGAACTCTTCATCAAGCCGTGTACTCAGACCGAGATCGATTTCTACCAAGCAGTAGAGACAAATGGCTATCGCGACTTTGCCGAGATCATGCCCCTCTACATGGGCGAGCTGCAGCTGACTCCCGCCGACGTACCGATCCAAGACGCGCTCATGGGCGTCATCGCGGGCGACGGCAACTTCAAGACCACCAAAGAACAGATTGCCGCGACGATAGCAGAGGTTGCGGATCAGACGACATGGGTCCCTACCCAGGGCAAAAAGATCAAGACGGACAAGTCGGTCGTGCTAGAGAATGCCTCGTATGGCTACAAGAGGGCAAACATCCTCGACGTCAAACTTGGCCGGCGGCTTTGGGCGGATGACGCCCCCGCTGAAAAGAAGAAGCGCTTCGATGTCATCAGCAAGCAGACGACGCACGAGAAGCTGGGCTTCCGCATTTCAGGCATGCGAGTATACCAGGGCTCGGAAGATGAGTCAACATTGGACGAGGAAGGCTATATGATCTACGACAAGGACTTTGGGCGCGTGACAGTCAACGAGGAAAATGTTGTCGACGCATTCCGAAAATTCGTCTTTAACAAGGCTGCCGGCGTCAACAAGGGGCTGGGAAAGGCTGTATGCTCTGCCTTTGTCCGAGACTTGCAGCGCATTGAAGATGTCCTGACAAGCCACGAGACCCGCATGTACTCTGCATCCCTTCTCTTCATCTTTGAGGGAGACGGCGCCTCGCTCGACACTGCTATTGAAAAGAACAATGAAATCATGGACCGCCAGTCCGCTGAGTCATATGAGTGCCCGCCAGTGTCGCGCACAAACATGAGCTTGGACAGCAGAATGGACAGCGGCATCGCGTTGGACGCAGACGACGATTACGACTATGAAGACAACGATGAAGACGACGACGAACTTCGACTGCCCCAGATATACACTTTGAAGCTCATCGATTTTGCCCATGCAAACTTTACTCCTGGCCAAGGGCCCGACGAAAATATCCTCCTTGGCGTCAGGAGCCTTTTGCGAATTTTCAAAGAGATGGCTGGCGAGGAACACTAGACTCATGCATGATGGCATGGCTTTCTTTGATTGGCCACTCTCGCGCGTTGTACATATATGATGCTAGCGACTCAGGGCGCTGCTCTTGGAATACGATACTGGCGTTAAAAGGAAGGTGACAATTTCTGACACTACACAGAGAGGGCACTCAAAAAGGGAGGCGCATTTCCCTTTCCCCCACTTTGGAGGAGAAAATATTTTTTTTTCCTGATACCCCGGAAGATGTCTGAATAATGGTGTTTGCGGCGTAATAATCTTGGCTCAACAGAAAAAGAGAATTAAAAAAGAGGTTACAAGGTAGAGCATGGCTCCACGTGGAGAGGGTTGGGAGGAAGAAGTTGCTTTTTTTTTCCCTTGCGTATAATGACGATATATGACGGGTTCGGCGCAAATGGGAGTTATCCTTTTTCTATTGTTTTCTTTGGTCTTTTATAAAAGGTTTAGGGGTTGGGGATAAACGCAGCTTTAAAATGCATATTGATACAGGTACTGTACTACTAAGCAGCCATATACACTTTTATGTACATTTCATCCACGTTTGGGTACAAAATTCCTACACCTCTTGTGTTTTAAATTCTGTCAAAACTCCCCCAAAAGGACTTGGTATCATTGAACATTATAGATTGGGTTTGGAATAGAGTTTTGCTGCTTTCAGCGGTTGGGAGTCAGTATCGCAAGATGCACCCCGAAAAGATCTGGGCACCAACGCAGCGCTTTAGCGTCATGCTGGAAGACGTCAGCGGGCCGCTGCAGCCCCTGCTAGGCACTTTAGTTGCCTGCTAGAAGCCGGGCTGTTAAGGGATACTCGCTTTAATGCGGCCTGTTGCTAGAGCTGCCATGTATTTCGCACCAGGAGCTCTGACCCACACGTCGCATTTCTTGCCGCCTCGCCATAAACCCTAACAGCTGTACTGCGGTACCTCGAGCTCGGCTTAACGGGCGGCAGATAGACCAGAGCGGCGGGCAGAAGATAGAACGAGACTCAGCCTTGCATCTTGTTTTTTTTTCCTTTTTTTTTTCGCTTTCTTTTTTCATGTAGGCGGCCATGTCCATCCCCGGCCTTGGGCAAATCCCGGTACAAGTGCGTTACTGCCAACTATCACTTGCAAGCTGCTGGCTGACTGTTCTTTTCTTTCATCTCTAGGCCGCCGTTTCCTCCACACGAACCATCTCCCTCCGTCCCGCCTGGGAATGGCGATTCCAAGTATCTCCGGGCTCCTCTCTCGTTGTCAAGGTCCTCGCAGGGACGGCTGAAAAGGACGGCGTCGAGCTCGCGCTGCGCAACGCCTACACGTTTTCCGGCGTTCGGTCTAAGATCCTGACGTGGCATGGCTGCGAGCTGGAGATTGAGGGGCGGTGCGACAGCGACTCCGTGGCCGAGTACCTGAACCCCATTGCGAATCCCGCGACTTCACACATCAATCTCCATGCGCGGCTGAGCGACATGCGTGTGGACGCCACACGGCAGCGGCGCGAGGGGCCGAGGGTTCTGGTGGTTGGCCCGCCGAACTCGGGCAAGACGACGCTGGCCAAGACGCTGACGAGCTACGCTACGAGGCAGGGATATCAAGTCATCACGGTGAATGCGAATCCGAGAGATGGGATGCTGAGCTTGCCGGGCACGCTGAGCGCGAGCGTGTTTGCGACGGTCATGGATCCCGAGGCTGTGGACGGCTGGGGGTCGACGCCGACGAGCGGGCCGAGCACGGTGCCTGTCAAGCTGCCGATGGTGTTCCATTACGGCTGGGAGAGCGCGGAGGAAGATGAGGATCTGTATCGCGAGCTTGTAGGTAGGCTGGCGGGTGCTGTTAGTGCCCGGCTGAGCGAGGACGAGGAGGTTCGCGGATCGGGAGTCATTGTGGATGGCATAGGGGTTAGTGGGGACGGGCAGATTGGGATGGAGCTGACTGCGCATGTCATGGATGAGTTTTCCAGCAAGTCTTTACCATGGAACATACGAGAGAGTTGTTGATGAGCATGGCTAACTGTTTCTTGTTGTAGTCAACATCGTGGTGGTGATTGGACCCGCGTCGCTGCACAAGGAGTTTTCGAATCGGTTCGCCAACGAAAAGACGAGTCTTGGCGAGCCCATACAAGTGGTGTCCATTGACGAATCGGACGGCGTGTTACCGAGAGACGAGGCACTCTCGCAGCACTCGCGCGAAGCGATCATCAAAGAGTACTTTTTTGGAGACGCAAAGAGGACGCTGAGTCCGCAGATTCAGCAGGTGGATTTTGATAGCCTGGTGATTTACAAGCTTGCAGACTGTGAGTTTGACATGTCCTTTACAACCTGTTGATCAAGATTATTGACGTTTGAGCACAGATTCTCCCGATGAGAAGCAGAGCTTGGTTCTGGAAGAGCCCTCGTCTCTTATGCAGCATTGGACATTTGCAGTCATGAACGCCTCGGTGCGGGACAGTCCGGATGTGATCCGCGCGGCCAATGTCATGGGCTTTGTGTATGTGGCGGATGTGGATGAAGATAGGCGCAAGATTAAGATCTTGGCGCCGGTGAGTGGGAGGCTAGGAGACAAGCCGCTGATATGGGGCAAGTGGCCGGAGCCGTACATTAACTTGCTGGGATAGAGGATAGAATTTCTTTCAAGTATAGAGTATAGTCAATACTAGCATTGGAAATAAATTCGCTGTCAAACGCAGATATCGAGGCGCAGGAAGGATGTGGTGTGACTTGTGTGGTGTGTGTGTGGCGGTTTGCTGCGAGTTTCACGATGTGTTGACAGCTGACTTGGCAGGACTCACTTGGGCTTGTGCTTCCATATCCCTTACCCTCGGTTATAGTCGCTGTGATATACTAAAGAGATAGTCAAGATGCGACATTTAGACGCACCGCCAATGAGATCCTCAGTTTGCTGTTTCCGGGTTATACGCCCTTGCTTTGTGTTCATATTATATCATTGATATCAGGTGGGCTCATGCCAAGTGTGCCATGTATGCAGAGAAAGGCGTCACATGTGCCTGCAGTCTCTTGGATCAAAAAGCGCAATCACGTAATAGTAAATGTTTGTGAATCTTGCCTTGAAAGGGTATTTCCGGTCGAAAAAAAGGGCATTTAGATACTGTGCTGGAGATTATGGAAGATCGTTGCTTGACTGAACGCGCGTCAAGCCAAGGCCGAGATATCTACGGATACCGTATGCAAGCGTAGAGAATACAGTACTGGGGAATTGCTCCGGGCCCGGCTTGGCCTTGGTTATGCTTAAAGCCAAACTTGCCACTCGCTATGGCGCAGCAATTCAAGGGGCAATTTTAGAGCAAAAGAACGAGAACGTCTCTCTATGGTTGTGCAGCTCCAAGTCCGTAGTTTTCAAGCCTCTCTCCCCATCCGGCTATTGCGGAACAAGCGCAGAGTTGGGCGTGGGGAGGGCTTGCAGGCCGTCTGTGAGCACGTGTGCCCGCCACTTTTGACTTGATGTGCCTGTGTGTACAAAGAAGGTTGTTTTTGAGTGGAAATGCGGGCGCGGGGATACGTAAGATTGACGGGATTTTGGGAGTTTTGCTGTTGGGCGTGTGTCTGCCAAGAAAGGCCGGCGTTGTGCTCGCTGTGGGTTCTTGTCTCTGCGGTTTTGTCTTGTCGTTTATGGCGATGCTGTCTGGGCAGATAAGTGCGGGGTATTGGGATTTGATAATACGACGATGAGTTGTGTTTGATTGTGGCTGTGGTGAATGTGATGATGGCTTTTTGGTGATGAGTATGATGTGGTTACTCTGGATGTGGCTGTTGAGATCTATTTGAGGCCTCCGTGGCGTAACTTTGTTGGATCATGGAGAGCAAAGTACTTTATTGGCAATGCTATCTATTCGGTGATTGTAGGTACTTGTTTTTATCACTCCCTCGACTCCATAGATAGGTGCATGTACGAAGCAAAGCAAATGCATTATGAGACTGGCGTGCAGCCACTTACAAGTATATCCTTCGCATCAGAGTGGGTGGACAGCCGTTCCCTCGCCGTCTATTGGCTGCTGCTCCTGGTCACGGGCTCAGACTAATACCAATAGCAGATCCCGGATAAACGAGACGCGATGTAAGATGCAGCTGCAATGACATGATATGTGCGGCAGTTTGTGGAGGCCCGTTTGAGACGCTCTGCTTGCCGTGGGCCGTGGGATGTGCAGCACGTGTCCCTGAGAGCGGGTAGAGGGTTGATTATTGCTATCATGTTGCCGATACTCACACACAAAGTATGATAGAATGATACTCTTTTAAGGAATCCAATATCTAATTCAACTTACTTGTTGTATACTCTACCTGTACCGAAGGCCAAGTTACAGCTCCCCACGTCCTTTGCCCGAGTCAATCATCACCCTCCAAACCTAATATCAACCGCCGTCATCAGATAATAGCGTCTCTTGGCATCTTATCCAGAACCTCTCCCAGTCCGAAACTAGCACCACAAAAGTGTGGATTCAAGCATCGGCTCTAAAGTGGAAATAGCTTCCCCCGCGTCTCTCCCCCCTCCACACCTCGTTGACACCCCCCCGGCTTGTTCGTTTCTAATCTATCCGCAGCCTCCGTTTTGATAACAATTCTGTTTTGATGCAGGTTAGCTTTGGGGATGATGGCTTGTATTGTTTAGGATTTGCTAGACTGGGTACTATCGGCTAGCTGACAGATGCTGCGTTTGTGGCTTATATGTAAATGGTATAAAGCTGAGCAGGAAGCTTAAATGTGCTATCAGGGTTCCTCCTTCTTTCTCTCTTCTCTTCCTTTTTAACCCTTTTGCCTTTTCTAGGCTTCACTTTGCTTTCTTTTATATTCCAAAAGAAAAAAACAAGCCTGTGTTATATAGCTAGCTATATAGTTAACCGGAACGAGTTTTTGAAGAACATTCTTGTTCTTCTGCTGATTGCAATCGTTTGGTCGTTTGCCTCATCATCCTCGCACCAGAAACAGAAAAAAAGAGCAAAAGGGACTGAAGACTTGACGCTCGCCTCCCCACTCCTATCCACCCAAAAAAACAAACACAAATTAAACCTTATTCGACACCTCTTTGTGTCCCGGCTGGAAACAGCTCCCGATACCCGTTCGATGGGAGAGACCGTCATCGTCATCACGAATGGTGCAGAACACGCCAACACCTCGTCGGACTCGTCGACCCTCTCCAGCAGCCAGGACGACAAGCCGCCTATAGCGGAACCCCCCGACATATCAGCTATAGAGAAGCCGCAGTGTCCTCACACTCTTCCGGCCCGGCGCGTTGCCGAGCTGCTCGAAACCCATACCGAAGATGGACTAAGTGACCAGGAGGCCGCCGCTCGCCTTGCGCGGGACGGGCCCAACACTATCAAGGGAGCCAAGGGCATCTCCATCTGGGAGATATTTCTCCAGCAGGTTGCCAATGCCTTGACCGTGGTGCTCATTGCCGTCATGGCATTGTCCTTTGCCATCCATGACTTTGTCGAAGGAGGCGTGGTCTTGGCGGTCATTCTCCTCAATATCATCGTGGGGTATGTTGCAAAAAAACAAAAGACAAAACTGACGCAGAACAGAAGAGACCAAGCCTGTTCATCAGTTTCCCCTTCATGGGGAGCCATCACTCTTTTTCTATTCTATCCTCTTTCACGTCTTGCTCACACGATTTATTGAAAATACAGGTTGATCCAGGACTATCGCGCTGAGCAGACTATCCAATCGCTCTATGCACTGTCTACCCCTAAATGCAAAGTCATTCGAAATGGCATCAACGATACCGTCAAGGCGGAAACCCTGGTCAAGGGCGATCTGGTCTCCCTTGCCACTGGAGATGTAGTCCCTGCTGATCTACGACTGGTCCAGGGCATCAACCTCTCTACGGACGAGTCTCATCTCACGGGCGAGTCTGTGGCCATCAGCAAGAAGCCCGATGCCGTCTTCAACGACGCAGAGCTACCGATGGGCGATCGCTTGAACCTGGTATACACTGGAAGTTCCGTGACTCGTGGCCGCGCTACAGGTATCGTCATTTCCACCGGGATGGACACCGAGGTGGGCCAGATTGCCGAGTTGCTGCGACAAAAGAAGACGCAGAATACCGGCTCTGGACCTGTCCACCGGTTCTTCATCAACTTGTACCAACGAACCAGGAACGTTCTTGGCTTGGAGGGAACGCCGCTACAGGTCACGCTGAGCAAGTTTGCGCTCTTGCTCTTCGCCCTGGCTATACTCCTCGCCGTCATCGTCTTCTCCGTGAGTAAGTGGGATATCGACGATGATGTCTTGCTATATGGCATCTGCGTTGGCGTCGCCGTCATCCCAGAGTCCCTCCTTGCCGTGCTTACCGTCACTATGGCTGTCGCTACCAAGGCAATGGTCAAGGGCCATGTAATTGTGCGCCAGATGCCGTCGCTCGAGGCCGTCGGTGGCGTGACTAATATCTGCTCCGACAAGACGGGCACGCTCACGCAGGGACGCATGATTGCTCGCAAGGTCTGGATCCGCGGCGGCCTTACGGGGCTCATCGAGGGCACATCAGACCCCTATGATCCCAGCAGCGGCACCGTATCTTGGTCCGGATCGCTGGTGGAGACCTGCTTTAGCACGTTTCTCGACTGTCTGGTGCTGTGCAACAATGCCACTGTTACGGACGGTAGGAAAGAGCTTGAAACCGACTCCAGCAGCGTCACCACAGCTTATGGGTCTGAAGAGTGGAAGGCCATAGGAGAGCCTACGGAGATAGCTCTAAAGGTCTTTGCCTTGCGCTTTGGCAAGAGCAAGACTGCCGGCGATGAACTCATCGCGGAGCACCCCTTTGACTCATCGTGCAAACTCATGAGTGTAGTCTATGGTAGCAGTGTCGATATTGATTCCAAGTGCCACGTATACACAAAGGGTGCTGTTGAGGTAGTTCTGCCAAAGTTGAACGAGTCCGATGATCTAAAGCAGGCCATCCACGCCAAGGCCGAAGAGCTCGCCGCTGATGGCCTCCGAGTGCTCTGCATCGCCAATAGATCCCTGGACCGAGAAAAGGAAGACGCTCATGACCGCAACCAAGTCGAGAGCAGCCTCCAGTTTCTAGGACTTGCTGGTCTGTATGATCCGCCTCGTCCAGAGACAGCCGGTGCAGTGGCGCAGTGCCGTGAAGCCGGAGTTTCTGTCCACATGGTCACTGGCGATCATATCAAGACAGCCACTGCCATTGCATACGAAGTTGGCATCCTGACGCGAGGCATTCCTCTGGGCCCAACGACTGTCATGTCGGCGGCCGACTTTGGCAACCTCACGGATGACGAGATCGATGCCATGGACGCCCTGCCACTTGTCATTGCTCGATGCAGCCCCCTGACCAAAGTGCGGGTGATTAAGGCTCTGCACCGCCGAAAGGCGTTTTGCATCATGACTGGCGATGGCGTCAATGACTCGCCGGCGCTGAAGCAGGCTGACGTGGGCATAGCCATGGGCGATAGGGGAAGCGATGTGGCTAAAGAAGCGTCGGACATGGTGCTGACAGATGACAACTTTGCGTCGATTGTGACGGGCATCAAAGAGGGACGCCGACTGGCAGACAATATCCAAAAGGTGAGTTACACTAACAAGTATAGAATATTACGATATGATCAAAGGAGGCTAACCAATACATATACATTTAGTTTCTCTTACATCTACTCACCTCGAATCTTGCGCAAGTCATCCTCCTCTTGATTGGACTGGCCTTCAAGGATGAACGCAATATCGCTGTTTTCCCACTCTCTCCTCTTGAGATTCTTTGGGCCAACCTGGTCACCTCTTCTCCCCTTGCTCTTGGCTTGGGCTTGGAGGAGGCGCAGCCAGACATCCTCCAGCGCCCACCCCGCAGTCTGCGCGCTGGCGTCTTCACAATAGATTTGATTCGAGACCAGTTTGTGTACGGGACCTTTATGGGGTCACTCTGCCTAGCCTCGTTTATGCTGGTGGCTTATGCAGCTTCCGGCCGAGGCTATCACAACCTGCCCATCGACTGCAACGAGCACGGCCATGATGGCTGCGGTCTGGTGTTCCGAGCCCGGGCCTCGACCTTTGCGACGCTGAGCTTCTTGCTTCTCATCACCGCCTGGGAGGTCAAGCATTTCCATCGCAGCCTCTTCAATATGGATGAGAGGTGGAAAGGGCCCCTTTCTGTCTTCAAGACGGTGTACCACAACCGCTTCCTGTTCTGGTCTGTGGTGGCAGGATTCGCCATTACCTTTCCGGTTATCTATCTCCCTTCTGTGAACAAGTCTGTGTTTAAGCACGAGGCGATAACGTGGGAGTGGGGAGTGGTATTTGGCTGTGTGGCAGTGTATGTTGCGCTGATTGAAGCCTGGAAGGCGATCAAACGGCGGTTTGGCCTTGGCGTCGACAGGCATCCTGTGCTTGAAGCGACCAGCTCGGTGTAAAAGTGGCGTGCACATGTTTGGATGGCGGTGCGTACATGATCCTATTTGGTACGTGTCGTGTTCAATATGTCGTGACGTGTCGCGTCGTGTGTGGTATACGCTCTCTTTTGTGGCTGTGGCTGAGCTGGCAAGGCATACTTGGGACGAATGAGTCCTTTTTTTCGTTCTCGTCTTTCGTTAGTGAATATTGATTGATTGATTGGTTGGTTGGATGAACAGATTGGTTGATTGACTGGCTCAACAGATTGTTAAATGGTGCCAGGATCGAATGGATATGATATGCTATCAGAATGTCTCTCTCTAAATAGGTAACATTAGTTTATGCAGTATTGATTTAGTTTGTCCTCTCTTTTTGGCAAAACAAATTGGAAAACCTCCAAAGGGGGGACTTTTTTTTATTGATCTTTGCTTTGCATCTTTGCTTTGCTGTCAGATAACGCGTATAATTTCATTCTAGTCTGTAATGCGTATAGAAGCTGCCTATGTATGATATGATAAAAAGCCAAAAAAAGAATGCTGATCGTGATTCCGTATCTAATGCTTGGAAAAAAACGTGGAGAACATTTCTGTCTGGTATATATAGGTTATATACTACCTAAGGTAGGTATATGTGTGATATTGAGCGATGGTGGTGAATGCTTAAAAGTAAGTGCTGATATTGTGTGACAGCGTCGTGACGTGAATTGCGTTGCGTTGCGTGGCGTGTTTTTCATTTTCTTCTCATGTTTTTCATGGTAAATCATGTGGTCTTGATATCTGTTTGGATGACCTGCAGAGATGGTGTAAGTTTTTTTGGTCCTATGGGTGGGTTTGAGTAAGGGATTGGAACTTACGAATTTCCAGCCGCTGATGCCTTCCCATTTGCCGCGGACGTACATCTCGAAACTGAGTGGATGAATGGTTAGCTTTTGTTATTTATGGAGCAAAGTAGTTGTCTTACCATTGAGGGTCGCTGATGCGGTCAACGAGGGTTTGGATCTGGGGATTCGCCTCAATGGCCTCGGTCCAGTTCCAAGGATCGGCGTTTTCGGCTGCCTTTTCCTTGAGCTGATCGGCGGGGCCGTTGTTGATGTCCTTGTAGACGCGCTTGCGGGACTCGCCTTTGAGGAAGTTGGGGTTCTCGTTGTTTTTGCCGCCCCAGCGGGTGAAGCCGCCGGTGAAGGTGACTTCAGGAACGAGCCTGAGTTATGAAATGTTAGTGATTAATGAGCTGGATGATGGAGAAAGATGAGGAGTTGTATTTACTTCATCTTGGCGGTGTAAGTGATGGATTTGAGCTGCGTGTATCCGGAGCAAGTCACTGTGGTTCTGTGAGGGGAGTTAGTTTGGCATATGGAAAGGGGATAGGGAGCTTGTCGTACGCTCGCTTGGCCGGGCAGATGACGGGGCAGTTGAAATCAATGTCCAGAGTGATTTCGTTGCGTTTGCCATCTGTGAAGGCGTCGGAGCCGTTGAAGGCGGATTTGATGGTCGAAGCGATGGCGTCCTCGATGCCGGTGGTGGACGCGTATCTAAGTATGGATTATTAGTTAGCTTTCTGCGATTGAGCTGCGTGGGATAGAAGGAGATATGTACTCATTCTGGGCGTTGAACATGGCGTGGTTGGAGTGGACGATTGTTTCCGTCTTGGTCTCTTTGATGGAGATGTTGACTTGGGTACTGGAGGCGGGATGAGTTAGCATTCTGGCGCTGAGCATAGTTGTGAAGGACATGCGTGCTTACTTCTCGTCTTGAGCCGGTACCGTGATAGTTTTCACCTGTTGAGTCGTTAGCCATGAGTGTGAACTGTATCATGATAAACGGGAGGGCTATGCGAACGGTAAAGGGCGAGAGCTCCTGGATGATGGGCTCGTCGAATACGAAATCAGAGAATTCCGCCCTCCAGTTGTCGAACCGGAGACTTGTACACTGCTTGTTCTGCACAAATCGTCATTAGCCTTTGTAATTCCTTAAAAAGTTCGGGTTTTACGTTTTTTTTTTCTTTTTTCTCTTTTTCTTCTTTCTTTTTGCAATTTGTATTAAAATATGTACATACTCCGAATCCCTTGGGCTTGCTCAGGTTCTTGAGAAGATATGACCGTCCGCTACCTTCGGGGTGCAGCTCGTGCTGGAATTCCGACCCGCTGGATATCCAGGACATTCCGAGGAGACTGCCGAGTATGTGTGAGCAGGAATCTTATCAACCAAGTAATGGCCGTGTACAAAGATTTTTTGAGAAATCTTAGCAACCATATGATGGCGTAATAAGGAGATTTTTTTGCATACTTGGCAAGGTCTGCGAAGGGGCGGGAGATTCCGTGTATGACTTTGGATTCCAACTCGGAGGTTGTGGATTCGTAGCTGATGCCCTGTGATGGAGTTAGCGGGTGGTGAGAGATATATCTTCCTTCATTTTTGTTTTTTGAAGAAGAAAAGGCAAATAAAGTGGTAATTCGAACCTTCGTCTTGAAAACAGCTTGAGCGCGTCTATAAAATTGTTAGGATCCAACTTGCGCTAACTTTTGTAGATCAAAAGGGATATACTCACTTGACGTTCTCGTACAGCGTGTCGGCTCGTTGTTCAAACGTTTCCCAAGTCTTTTACTTCACGTCAGCAGTTTAACTCCACCAAAGTCCAAATGAGCTCACCTCGGCCTGTTTCGTCAATTCACCACAAGCCTCTCCAAAGTAGGCCATCTTCGCCTTCCGGATGCCCTCCTCCAGCTTCTCGGGGGTGTCGAGCGTAAAGTCGACAACGCCAGCCATGACCTCGTTGATGGCCCGGTTCAGGGCCTGGCGGTTCCACTTGTTGACCAGGGCATCCAGCAGCAGCAGCTTCGCGATGTGGTAGTCGGAGATGCCGCTGGCCAGCTTGTTGCGCGCCTCGACGACGCGCGTCTTGGAGTCCTCGTGCGTGACGCTGAAGTTGGTGACGCTGGCCTCGAAGGCGGCCTTGGCGGCGGTTTCGCAGGTGGCCAGGTGGTTTGTGATTCTGTCTTTGGACACTGTTCTGGTAATTGCGAGGGTGTCGCTCTGGTTCTTGAAGTCTTCGAGTTGGGTCTTGACGACGCGATCGAGCTCCTCTTCAAGATAGGTCAAGAAATCCTTCAAGACTGTTTAAGAGTGTTAGTAACGGCGAAAGGTGAGCGTTGGACGGAGAATACGAACCAGAGGTATATCTATCGCCGTAGGTGCTCTTCTTGGTGGACAACTGGTTGTCAAACTCGTTCAAGTGGTGGTCATAAAGACGGCCGCTGATCGGTTGCTCCTTGAGGAAGGCTATGAGACCCTCGCGGGAATCTGTTGTGTCTGTGATGGTCTTGAAATCTCCGACGTCCTCCTTGGGCAGCAGAGAGTCATCCAGCTGTCTCTGATAAGAATTCAAGCGCTTGTCTAGAAGAGTTTAGTAAACGTTTGCATTCCCAGTCATTCATGTTTGCACTCACCGAGCTCTTGGGCAATGGATTTCTCCATCTGCTGCTCTCGTACTGTGACCTTTGACTTGACCAAGTCCTTGATCTTGTTGACCTTTTCTGTGTAGTTTTCCTTGATGGCCGATGCATTCTCCCAGAGATACTCGGTATCAATGGTGTTGTAGTACTGCTCCAGATGAGAGCTCTGCTCCTCCTCCGCGGCCGTCTCCCATATTGACTCATCGCCGATGAGGCTTTCTTGGTAGAGTTTCTCCAAGGCGGCAGTGATTGCCTCAGAGTTTGCAGTATCCAGCTCAACGACCCATGAAGCCCAAGCAACTGAGAGGTTCTGCTTCACAATCGCCGCCGCTGTGAAAAATGCGCGGTCGTAAGTCACTGAGTAATTTCGAGAAAGTGCCTGTTCGTCATAAGACGAGATCTTCTTCTTGTAGGCCTCGAGCAAGTCGCCGTGATACTGATCCAGCAATTTCTCGGCAGTGTTGAGCGAGAAGGACTTGAAGTCGGATGCCGCCTCATTCAAAGAGTCTTGAATTGAGCCAATCAGCTCAGTCAGCTCTTGCTCGGCAAAGGCCTCAATCTTTTGAAGATTTGCAGCCAAAACTTCATTCCGCTGCCCCTCTGATTCCTTTGCAAGGCTTTCACATGTGTCCCTGGAACATTTGTTAGATATGAGTGATCCGAATGATGGCACTTCCGTTCTTACTTGACGGTCTGCTGAGAGAGATATTTCAATGAATCCCGGACACTGTTCAGACATTTCTGCATGGCGCGGTCTAGTTTCTAAACGTAATCTTTTAGTTCCTGGGTCTCACAAGCCAGTGGTATTCCGCATACCTTGTTGCAGTCCTTTGTGCTTAGCAGCCGTGTGTCTGCGCTCAGCTTGTTGCACGCCTCTCTATAGTCGTGGTGGAATTTGATGTGAGATCTGTTGACGGCTTCGTTCTCGGCAGCCCGCCAAATATCAGGGACATGCAGCTGCCCATTCTGCTCAAGACGATTGATCGACTTGACAATGCTTGATACAAAGTCTGCTGTAGAAGCGCCAGTCAAAGGTGCGCCGGCGACAAGTCGAGGAACCCGCAGCATCTGAGACAGCGAGGCACGCAGATTCTTGAAGTCCTTGACGTAGTTGTCATTGAAATCATCGATGACAAGGAACTCCTTGGATTTGTCGTTAATCTTGGCTTGCACGCCCTCCTTTAGAGAGTTTCCGCGAAGCAGGTGAACCTGGACCGGTGTGAGTATGTTTCTCCCATTGCCTGTTTAAATGGAGTCCGCTTACAGTCACGTCCTCAAACTCGGCAGACAGCTTCTCTCGGATCTTGTTTCTCCTCTTGATCGCCTCGGTCCTGCCGATCTCTTTTCTGAGGATGTTTTTTCTGACATCGTCCACTAGTTGAGCATATTAGTATCACAAGCTATGTGCAATCCCGAGGCAGTACAGTGCATCTATCTCATTAAACTTACCTGAACCACCAAGATCGTACCTAAGATAGTTGTTAAAACAAATGGCTTTGCTGTGGGGATGAGAAAGAAAGACTCACTTGTTGATGATGATGACTAATTGGCCGAATTTGGGGCCGGAGGTCTTCTTGTCGCCACCAAAATGCAGCTTCTCCGCAGCCAGCGTCATCATCGCCAAAGACGTCAGGATGGTGTCTTTGGCGACATCTGTGGTGTTGAATACGATGACGCGAGAGCATAGAAGAGCGGGAGTGAAGAGAATGATGCTGTCGTAGATTAGTCGGCAACTCACACCATCAAGTCAAAATGAATCCGCGGCTACATACTCGTATAAGTCGCCCTGGTCGCCATGGCCTTCGGTGTCCAAGAAAGCCACTCGTTGAGAGCCCACCATTGGCAGCTCAACGCCGTCGTCAAGTCGTGAGAATTCCTTGACGCCCATGATCTTATTCCCGAGGTTTGTGCCTGTTGCAGGGATTAGCAAGTATAGGGGGCGGGCGTCAGCCCAAGGCCTGTGCGTGCGTTACCTCTAGTCCACGATTCGGCTCCGGGAGAGGTTGAGAACAGTGGCTCTGTGGTGCACCCTGCGAGAAGGTTCAAGAGCGTGGACTTGCCGCTGCGAGTCGGGCCCATAATGCTGATGAGGCTGAGCGCCTCGTTGATCTGCCGCAGATGGTTGTTGACGTCGTCGTGGCAATGCAGCACGTAGCTCTCGGGCTCATCAGAGTCCACGTCAGTGGCATCGTCAAGAGTGAGCTTCTGGCTGGCAGCCTTTGTGCTGAATGCCTTTGTGCTGGGCGCCTTTGTGCTGACGGCCTTGACGCTGGCAGCCTCCTTGACGCTGGGGGCATTTACACTGGTTGCGTTGTCGCTGGCGGCATTCTCGCCGGCTACGGCCTCATCGGCAGCCTCCTCATTGGAAACGCCCTCGCTCTTGGCCTCTTCACTTGAAGGGTCCTCGCTGGGAGCAAGCTCGCTGGCGGCGTCCTCAGGCTTCTTGGCGCCATTGTCAATCTCAAGCCACCGAAGCTGGTCGCTGGTCCCGCCGGCAACTAACTGGAAGCTCTTTTCATCTTCTGGACTGTGTTGCGGCAAACGGCCTTGGTTAGTGCATTGAACATTGAACAGAGATGAGATGAGCAACAAGACGCGTTGGCATGCCTTAACGTTTCAGTAAAGTCCATGGAGCTGTCCATCCGCTCGGTGGACGTGGTGCTAAACGTCGTATTGGTCCTTGACAGTCGTTCTACAGTAGAAGTGGAATCAGCCGGCTGCAGCAGCACGCATTGTGCGGTGAGGCGAATAGGGGACGTCAATCACATACTGGCCGACTTGGTCCATGATGGCATGCGCTGAGACAGCGACCTCACTCTCATAACCATGATGACGGTCTGCTCTGCTGGATGACTGGTGATGAATTCTTGCCAGTCGTCGCTGGCATTGTATAAAATGAAGTTCTCATCAAGCGGTAAAGAAAAAGGCTGGAGAAAAAGCCGTGGGCGACTGAAGGGGATTAGCTCCAGGCAGGATGTGTGCCGAATTGTGCCAGCAGCGGTTTACACGTCAATGCAGTCTTGGTGTAAGGCCACGGCATGTGATAGGCCGCGCGCAGGGCCTGGCCGCTGAGTTGGGCTTCCATCACGTACTCGCGGTGCCTGATTTGAGGGCCCTGGGCTACCACGGGCTTGCACAAGGTCACAATTGGGAGCCCCCTGCTATGAAAGGGGTCCATCGGTGCAGTTACACGTATTGTCCAGAGATCAGGCGGTCACAGACGTGGATACTCGCTTCACTGACTCGCGTCTCGATTTATGGACTTGTGCGTAGAACACGTCAACCCATGAAGCCAACCTATGCCTGAAGCGTGATAACGTCGCCGGAACCACCCTGGGCAGGCTGCACGACGATAAGGCGGGGGGTCCGGCGATTGGTTTATACAGCACTGAAACGGTCCTCCAGAGAGGTGGCGAACGGGCCAAGGAATCGAGTTATCGAATCGTTTGTTCTAGTACCTAATCAACTAATGTATCTCAACTGCAGCGAACGTTAGGGGTCATCTGCACATGCAACCCTTTTAACCATCAAGACGTTTGCAGGGGGGCCAGAGCAGCGAGCAATTGTAAGCACCGCGGATGCCGCCCGGAAACCCTTCACCTAATGACTCAACTGCGAGAAGAGCCCTTGCTCTGACTTGGAGCTTGCCCCATGTCTATCTGCACAGTACTCGGGGCTCTCAATGGCCAAACGGCCGTGGCGATGCATTGACGAGGCAAGGGCTCAAAGTTTCGCCTCCGTGAACCTCGTAAACAGGAGGCAGATATGCATAAATCTGCTTTTCATTGTCTCAGCTTCTGCCGAGCCGAGCTCCAGTCCCTTTCCTTGCAGCCTCTGCTCTTCTCGACGGCGTGGGACTCCGCAACTCGGAGTCAAACACGGCAACGCGCGTTAAAATAAGCAGAGATGCTGTCAGGGGGGCTAAACTCAAGCTCCCGCCGCTTTGTTACGGGCCAGCACCGCCTGCTCACCGAAAAGCTACTGTAGCTGCTGTTGCCGTGCTAATTGCGTGTCCGTGGCACTAATTTGGAGAAAAAAATTCCAGATCTTGCTGGACAATGCGTTTTGCTCTCCACATGGGCCGCAGCCACATCCGCTTTTTGCCTTCTCATGGTGTAAGAGAGACCAACCAACCACCGCATATACTGGGATCAACTGCAGCTTCTGCCTATCTCCTCTTTCTTTGGGCATGGCAATGGGGATATCCATTACGATGTGTCTCTTGTTTTAAGAAGGACTAAACGTCGATGTCCGGTAGTGTTCCGTCTCCAACGCCACCTGCTGTAAGAGTTCCATGGCCCTTGACACCGCCTTTGTAGAACCAACAAGAAACGATTGCGTTAGGAGGTGCAGTGGCTGGATAGACAACTGGAAAAATTCAAGATTTATGAGTTCAATATACTACTGCTTATATGAGTTGCTCTGTACTTTTATGTCAAAGTATTCAGCCATTCTACACAATCATACGAGCACTTCTACGACTCTATATTAAAGTGCAAACGAGCATCTGTACCCTGCCATATTGGGCCGCGATCGCATCACTAGCGCAGTTCAGACATTACCCGTTTCAACAAACAAACTTCTGAGCAAGCAGATGCTGCAGAGACTAAACAAACCAAGGGTCTAATTGATCTCCCCACGCATAGTCACCTGCTTGTCCCGCTGTAGATGCATTGCATATACATATCCTCTCTTCTCCATAGGGCTAGGTCCTTCAAGGCAGGCATGGATCTAGGTGGACGCACATATCCTAGTCTTCACCACGTATGATGATGATGACGGCGGTGACGTCTCTGTGGAGGACGATGTCGTTGGATGAGGTGAAGTGCAATAACCAATCCATTCTACCCTCATGCAGTTCTTCGAGACTCGCCATCATTACTCGCGTCGGCGTCAGTCCAGCTCCCTCTTTATGCTGCCTCTGTGCTATCTTCAGCTGCAGTCTATATCGTCCATGGCCCTCAATATAGGTATCATTCCAACCTGTAAGCGTTTAATCCAGTATTCTGCAAGTCCTTGGGATCATTGACGCCAGGCCTTGATCTACCATGGAATACGGGCGTAAGTAAGAGGCTATCAAAGCTGTTCCAGGTTTGCGAGCTGCGATATGATTCTGCGCGAGATTTTAATTGCCCTCATCGTCGCATATAGCGCTAAACATACAAGCGTGACCGTCATACCTGAGTGTGGATTTTGCTTCTTCTAAATTTTTATACCGCCTGCATGGCGCGCGCTCCACATGATTCACGATAGCGCCTCAGCCGAGTGACGGCGTAGAGGTGATTTGGGAAGATGGAGGGTCTCTAAGTGGGCGCCATGGAAGCGATTCCAGTTTGCCCCTCTTTTCTCTGGTGAGAGTTAAGAGCATGGGAAGCTGCGTAGATCCGGAGACTTACACATCCCATGCCGAGGCTTCAGGTCTAACATGGAACAGCTGACTGCCCAGGAAGACTGGAATGAGGACTACCAACCGCGAGGATCTTGACTAATACACGCCATACCCGAGAAAATCTTTTGATGTATGAAGTGCTTTACCTACTTGTGATAGTGGTTCCGGCGTTAATTCGTTGCTTGTCATCTTGTACTCGCGAATTAAAGACGACTAGAATTATCTCCCGATCCGCACTCTGGGCTTCACGCCTCTCATTGGCCTGTCAATTTTTTATTGTACAATCAACTGATACTAGGCCTTCAAGTCAAACAAGAAGACATGTTATCAAGATAATCCTGCTATAGCTACCATGCTGTGACCGACTCGCTTATCTAACTACTACCCGTGAGGCACCAGGTGCGGACTGCTCTATCCATATCTCTGTTGCCCGAGGTCACAAGCTCTAGCTGATGGAATATTACACTGCTCGCTTGGCATTGCTATGAACTCCTTAAATGAAGAGTGGTCGCCTTGATCAGCTCTCTAGCTAGAATTTGTATGATCATCTGAGTTTGGGGATATAAGCGTGAAGGTATGTCACAATGCGGTTGAGTCAACATGCTGCTTACAGCCCACTAGACGCTTGGATAAGATCATCTGAACATATGCTAAATCTGTAGCGGTAAGATTACTTGATTCCAAACTGTGAATTGCTGAGAAAACGATGTACAAGCTTGAAGTCATTTACAGATGATGATGTAACATATGTAGAGAGATGTGAGACATCTTGCTTGTCCAAATTTGATTGCAGACTCATAGACTAGATTTATATCGAAGAACTTGACGTCGCAAAAGAAGATTCCCGTTTAGAGTACAACTGATCAAGTTTGTGTGCATCTTCTAGGCCTCTGGAGGCACTTCCTTGAGATAATCCTCCAAAACAAGACCATCCCGGGCTCTTTTCCATCAAAACCTTCCTCCATCACACTACCCGGTTCTCATGCCAATCCTCTAACCGAGGCTCCCCATGTTGCGTTGAGATCGAGCTTCTGCGTTTGGCTGAGCTATCAGGAACTTGACTAGCTTGTCTTTATCGATCTCTCCTCCCCACCGCAGGCAAGCAGTCCAGTTCTCATACCATGTCTCGTTTGACTCTTTCAGACCGGAGAGGGCGCTGACTATAAACCATATTCCAGGGGTATCAGGGTAGTTTGCCTTGATGATGGTCCAGTTGTGTATACGGCTCATCGCATATGCGTCAAGCGAAGCGAAGGATTCTCGATTGCTTCTGGTGAAGTCCGATATGATGTTGAACATATCACTTTGAGAAACTCTTAGGACCGTTGTTTGAATCAGAGCTAACAGTTGCCTTGAGGTCATCTTGTCAGAGCCAAATCCTTCGTCTTCGAGCTTGATCCTGATCTTCATTGACAGAGCATTCATCAAGAAGCCTGTTGCCTTGATATCTTTGACTTGCCAAGCCACAGCAGCAGTCTTATCGTCTGGCTGCCCATAAATGACGCTCTAAAGGCCTAAAACCTTGCGTGGAGCTTCCCAATTGATGTCATATTTGCCGACCAGGCGTCCTCTGCCTCTGCTATCTGTAAGACTTCCTTGTCAAGGTGGTATTCATGGCTGCTTTGTTCGTCAAATTGAGCTTCGTCTTGAAAATGGAATTGATCCAGGAGACAGCTTTGTTTGAGATTCGGCTTCGTCGTGAAAACTAATTTTCATCACTCATCAGATCATGAAATGCATCACGGTGGCGTCATCGCGGGGGCTCATACCGTGTCAAGAAGCGAGAATGGATTATATTGCAGCAGCTGGAGCTGAATTATGGAAGAGGGAAGGGCAATATGCTTGACTAAGAGCAAACGGATGTTGCAAACGAAACAATAGATAAGTGGGCTTGTCAAAGAGGGTGGACCTGCCTGACCATTCAACGCTTTATAATCTTCAGTGACATTCATCATGCCAAAACCGAATGAATTACGGGCTAGTCTGCTTCCATACGGCTTGGAGAGTAGTAGATGCGCATGTCAAGGTGATAGAACCTAGCCTTTTGATATGCCCAACTGAATCCTTGAACTATCGCAGGGTGTCATCTGTTCCTTTTCTCATACACCGTCTATTTCTTAACCCAGAAAAGGCACGTATGCCGCATAGAGCTCGAGCAATATCTGAGTCTCCCCGCTTCTTTTCTGTTAAGATATTCATTTAGGCTTATCTTCGGGAGTGTATCGGAAGTTACCGAAGTGCCGACATAGTGACACAAAGATGAACTGGAGATGAGACATAGCTCCACATGAGACCGCCTATCACACTCTTTAGACCGGTCTATGGGTGATCATTACAGAGACCAAGTCCTTGCATCAAGGAAACTGATGCCATACGCAGTCGTAGGCTCTTATCTGCTCTAAGATGACATGTGTAGAACCCTTAGCATCGGTACACTCTGAAGGTGTGCTAGTTTTGTCTTGCCAGTCACAAATAACTCCATTTGCACAGGGCAGCTCAACAGAAAAGAGGAATATCAGTGTAAAGCCAGTACAGCCATTTCATCTTACTCTATCTTTCTCTCATTAGAGCCCGCATATTTACCAAGTTGGAGATAGCTATCAGCTGAAAAATCTCAAACTAGCTATGTTGTACGTCAGTAGAGTTTTAATTCATATACGAAAATATTCGGAACTATTAGATTCAACATAAAAAAGTGATGAGCTAGTTCTGTCTTCAAACATTTATTAAATGATTGTTTTTTTTTTTTTTTTTTTTGGCTACTAAAAGCAATAGATATTTCGTACAACGAGCCTCAGTTAATGGATGAATTCTGAGATGTGTTAAGAATAAAGGCGACTTTAAATCTGCATAATTTAAACAATATGTAAATGGTGTCTTATCTCTAGCTCGCGGCGACCTATATTGGTTAGGAATGTCTGACCGGTTGCATCCATCTGCTTCTGGATATTTCTTTGTATCGGAATATTCTGGTGGCTGCGTACCAATCAACACTGAATTACATACAAACAAAGAAAGTCGGTATCAATCATCTGGTACTGTATGCTTCAATGGTGTACTTTATCATCCGGGTTATGATTGAGCCGATTATCAGTAGACTCTAAGCTTGTGTCCTTATTGCTCTACCCCATGAGGCACTTGTTGCATCATACTACAAGTGTCGCAAAGATGACAGGAAAGAATTCGTACGGAAGTTTTGAAATGATTTGATGACACCTAAATCTTGCTTGAATTCACCAGGTTATATGGTATCTATTCATGCGACGTTGAACCAGCCGTTTAGCTTAAGCCCATATCACGTTCGTTCATATTATAGCTCGTTTTATTTTTCCATGAGCAGTAGAATCAGCGCTTCGTTTTTATCTAGCTAAAAATCATGATATAGACTCTTTTCTATTTGTTCTTACACAAATTTGCTCCCAGATGACTCCTTTTTTACATCGTTATAGCTGACAAATGTGAACCTTGATGGCCGCGCACCTTGATGGCCTCTCAACCCCTCACGGCCTTCATCACATCTTATTCGCCATTCCCATGTCGCCTTTTGGGCATCACGTATCACCAAAGGCAGAATCAAGGAAATATAAACCCAATTTCCATCAAGGTTCACAGATATGCTGGTGCTGATTGGCGAAGGTTTCTGATTTTACCTGTGGGCCATGTTTAGCTCATAAAGCGGCCAGTTGGTTGGAGAGAGTGGAAGCGGAGATGATGAAAATAGAAACCATGAGTAGGAGTTCCAAACTTGATATTCACATCATACATTGCCAAATATAAAAAGGAGGAGTATTCCTCTCATGTTGGCGGTTTCTGCATCTCTGCCAATCTCAACAGCGTCTCCCTCCAAGCCACTGACAATCAAGTTGACACCAACACACCTGTTCACCAGACTGAAATCGATTATAAATGCAATACTGTTGCTTGAAATCTGTGTCAGCTTGGCGCCTTGAGATCAGTAGCCATCCTCGTCTATGCTGGAAGAGCTATTGAAGAGTAGACTTGGCCTTTCTCTCGCGAGATTCTCTTTTCCTATGTCCACTGTTGATCATTCAGCTGAGGAAACATGCTGTGCTCTGTCTACTACAGATATCCCAACAAAAACAGATACCAAGGGGTTATTTGTGGCCACTTGGGTGGGGGTTTGTAATCTTGTCAAGTAATAATCATGCCAATCCAGCTTCTGATTCGCAGCACATTTGTGCTCCCACTCTGACTTCCGTCTCTTCCCGACATCTCATGGATGCATACATGATCCTAACGGAGAGTATTGCTTCATTTTGATATAATCACATGCTGCTGAAACGATCATTGTCCTATTAGCTCCATGTCTCCCTACTTTCGGCTCACAAGGGATCGGGTAAGCCACTAGTAGAATCATGAAGCTACTCAGGGCCGCGTGATAGTTTTCACGGGATGATCTAGGCTAGGTCTATTTGTTTGTCTGCCCCTTTTCAGCTTCGGGATTCATGCCATGCTATCACCAATAGTGATTGCCCCCCAATATTCTTGTTGGCCGACCCGTGGGGGCTGCCGTCGAAGCCGCACTGTTCACACCTCACCAGTTCCTCATTTCCGCTTCCGATGCTAGTAATGCTGTGTTACGTCAAGCCAGAGCTGCACAGCCGCTTTGTCACCGTTTATCAACGGCTCGATTCTCGTGCAGGCGCCCCCCAAAAACCAATCAATGGCCTCGTTCGAGACCTCTCATGACGTGGCCAATACACCCCTATCGTCAATAGTCATGTCGGCCAACTTTCTTATCTTTCGTCCTTAGATAAGAGGACACTTTGTCGACTTTGGTGAAAACCTTCAATAATCTGTTGGTCCAGCAGTGTTGCCTTCCAAGGGAGGAAGGAAATGGCTCCCGTGATCACCCTACGACTGCTATGAGGCCAAAGCTCCAGCTCTAGCTCTGCGTATTTGCCTCATCAGCGCATATCCAGTTGACTGTTCTGATTCGAATAATTTCATAAAAGTATACCAGTTTTTGCCAAAATGCACGTCCTCAGCTCTTTTCGTTGTTGTCGATCAGCTACTTCGTGTAAAACTTTATATCCGTCGTATGTGATCTAAAAATCTTGATTCATGGAAATGTATTTAAACTAGAAGGTTAATGAAGTGCTTATATAGTAGAATTGCCCTTGACAAGTATGCGTGGCTACACAACTATCTTCAAAATAACCGTATGTCTGCATGTCTTGGCATGCATGTCTCACACCATTACAATCATCAATCCATTCCAGCCGTTACGAACCTGAATGCCCCTGCAGTTGCCACCCGAGCAAAACACTCTTGATGCCCAGCTTGTTGGCTCTAGCTGTTGAGCTCGGGTTGCCATTACCTGTCCCTCGGCCAATGAAGGCGTCTTATGACCAGAGCGGATGATAAATGACATTTCAAGTTCTATGGCCACGCATGGGCATTGACGAATGCATGTGAAGATTTTCACGTCGACAGTTGGCCATCCCCTGATAGCTTGCACTAGCTCGCTGGCTAAAGCTCCTACATGTGAGCTTTGAGGATGAAACTAGCGAAGAGTGCAGGATTTAGTACGTGGGGAGTTGTGAGTGGAGAGAGTACAGGTGACAGGTTGAAATGTCAGAAAACACAGCTTCGATCTGTCTATAAAAGCAGCAGCTTTCGCTTGCTTTTTCAATTTCTTGCCATCACTACAGCCAACTCCAAGATCAGAACCACTCAACAAACAGCTATCTTTACGACTTTCTAAACGACTTTCAGTCTCAACTTCAAAATGTCTCCCTGGTGAGTTCATCCCGACTTGACTCTCAGTAACCTTTCACCATCTATCGATTCGCATTCTGGATGTCTTTTTCATTTGATCGCTAAGTGCGAAACATTTCAATATATTCTATGAATGAAAAGTCAGTCTTTGTGGTCATATTAACATCTTCTCATAGCTCCTGCAACACCTGCAACTGCTCCACCACCTGCAGCGACTGCTCTTGCTGCAAGGTAAGCTTGATCAGTTCAAGTTGGATGAATACACCAAACAAAGGTCTAACACACGATGGTTCACAGCACTAAATGTTCGACATGTTATCCAGTCACTAGAATGACATTGCATCCTAAGAGCGGCTTGTGGACTTGGATGATTGACAAGACACTATGAGTGAGGCATCGGGACATATAGCTTCCGCCATGGACGATATAGCATAAGAAAGCAAGAAAATGAATAAAAACATTTGTTTTTGAATATCTGTTCGATGCAATCATTCTGCTGCTGGCTTTTTTCTTCTTTGTAAATTGTAATTTCATGAGAAATAATCGTTTCGCATGTAGATGTTGCTACGCTAGATACAAGCCAAGTGGATGGCACGGCACGTCAGAAATGGGATATGACAGCGCTATGGAACGACTTATTGAACAGTAGAGAGCTCGCATGACGGACGTTTTCGTAGATCTCTTAAAGAGATAGAAAGACAAAAAAGACCTCGGGGCTGAATGAAAAGAAGCCGAGAATCGCAAAAAATGATGCCCACTATCAGAGTCGAACTGATCACCTTGTCATATCACAGAAGTACTAGTGACACGCTATACCGCTTAGCCAAGCGGGCAGGTAGGATTGTTGAAAGCCCCTTCCACTTTTCAAACTTATAAATGGAGCGCAATGGATCTTCTGCGAGTCTCGGTATTGATCCAAGCGGGCGACTGGTTTTTGATGCTAATGTCAACACTTTTGTAGTATATAAACTATACCGCTTAGCGCCAAGCGGGCAAGTAGCTGTTGGAAGCTCCTTCCATCTTTAGGCTTATAGAGCAAACAGGTTGATGCTCAACTTTGCTCGCCACGATCTGGATCACTCTCATCATCAGAGATCACGGATCTCGGCGGAATTTCGCTCTCTATTGCAAAAGCCTATTGATAACATCGACAACTTTGTAGATGCCATATTCTGCTGATTTTCTAAGGCTGCTGTTATAAATTACATCAATTACAGTAAGCCGTTTTGAAGCTGTTGCGAAAGCCCCGGATTTCAACTGTTTATAGTTCAAAAGGCATGGAACTTGGATCGTATAAGTACTATTGCGACAAGGATGTTCTTTTACAATATGGTCTACGAACTATTAATGCCTCAGTACTTAACTAGCTTAGCCCAATTGAATAGAGAATTGACGCATTTTACTTTTGTCTTACCGACAGAGCAATCTCTCCTAGAGCTTCACATCGGATATTTGACAGGTTCTGCAAAAGTTTTCGGGCTTCGGACTTCATTTTTACTACTCGTTTTGCCGAGTCAGACACAGCGCTTCTTATTTACAGTTGTCCACAGACGTACCGATTTTATGTCCGAGATTGACTGCGAACTGGCAGCACTATTCTGTATAGACACCTGAGATCTTGGCTTTCATCCTATGATGCTGCTTCCGACGGGTCGCTCATACCTATAACGGCACTTGCTCAATCTTTATCCAAGTCGGGAATGCGGGGGATAATCGGAATCAATCAAATGCTGGGGTAACGGACGATTCGTTGTAGCCATTGCCGAAGCCTTATCCATTTATAATGCAACATCAAGTCACTTAGCGTAGATATCTGGGCAATTGCTCCTCATATGATCCCAATTGCACGTGAGAAATTTACCTATTCTTTTCTGTTATTACTATGTATTGGTGGAGGCGATTTTGCCGAAATAATGCAGTTAGATCGTTGGCCTGGCTAGTGCCTGGAACATGCGGGTATCCAAATGCGCCTGATCTCTTTATTCAGGCGAGATCAACGCATATCTTCACACATGGAGTTGCAAATATGCCCGACGGGAAATTTGCCCTTGCGCTGCAAAAGGAAAGTCTATAGTCAAGGTGCAAACTGGCATTTGGAAGCGTATCATTGGTGGTCTTCGATGCGCCTGTGAAATTAATATACTTGGCGACGCCCGCATTATGGGTCATAGCAGCTTGCGGTTAATCATGCTGCGAATATGGAAGAACCTCATTGCCGCACCTCGGCCGATACCAAGGGTTCTCCATATTGTGTTCTCATGATGAGGGTAAACATTCGGCTTGTCCATGGAGTAAAATTCGGACCAGCTCTCAGGATTGAAGATGCAGCGTCTGAACTTCCCTTTTGATCATGGCATATTAAGAGTGATAACCGACGGGCCTATAGCTCCATGGCTTTCAGTATAAATATAGCTATAATGCTGAGTAAAATCATGTGTGAAAGGTGACAATCGTGACTCTTTCTATCATCTCAATTTGTTACTCGGTAACACTGAGGGTTCATCACGATGGGCTTCTCTCGGGCCTTGGTTACGGCACTCACTTATGGGTCTATTGCCCAAGCCACATACGATGTCTTTGACTATGTAGACCCGTTAATTGGAACAACCAATGGAGGTGAGTACATGCCAAGCCTTATATAAGTTTTAAATGAAACAACTAAGACCAGATTGAGAGTTGACAATGCTCCAGGACATGTTTTTGCGGGCGCAACTCTTCCATTCGGCATGGCCAAGGCCGTGGCCGATTCAGTCAACGATAATGCCGGCGGTTATGCTTCAGATGGTGGCCCCAGTAAGTTTGACTACGAGACTGAGAAATAGATCTTAAGAATTAAAGGCGTGGGAAATTATAACTTTTGTCTGACGATGATGCTTTAGTTACTGGATTCTCTCATATGCACGACAGTGGAACGGGTGGTGTAAGTGCTTTGTCGTTGAGAATAAAAGTCTCCTAGCTAATTGTCTCTAAAGGGTGCTTCTCTTGGAAACTTTCCTCTGTTTGCACAAAGTGGCTGTTCTGGTGGCATTCTTGATAACTGCTATTGGACCAAAAATGACCGCCAATCGATGCCTATCAACAGTTCCGTGGAGGCCCATCCAGGGTTCTTTTCAGTTACTCTCAATACTTCCATCAAAGCCGAGATGACAGTAGCGAACAAAACAGCGCTATATCGATTTACGTTCCCTGACGAGCCTGTGCCAATGAAGGGAGGCGATGCGACGGGCGCAAACGCTATCCCATATGAGCCAGTGATTTTGGCCGATCTGACAGATCTGTCAGATTCCAGAAGCAAGGGAAGCGTGAAAGTTGACCCCGGCAGTGGGCGCATTACTGGATCTGGCACATTTAACCCGTCATTTGGCGTTGGCACATATAATCTGTATTTCTGCGCTGATTTCAAGGGAGCCAGCATCAAGGACACCGGCATTTTTCAGAATAACAGAGCCGGGACAAACTTCAAGCAACTCAATACAGAGACCGCAACGGTCACAGGACCACCTGTGCCCGGAGGTGCTTTTGTGCAGTTTAACAAACCCAGCAACAACCAGATACTGGCCAGAGTGGGTTTGTCATTCATCAGTGTGAATCAGGCATGCGGCAATGCCCAGTCTGAGATTCCCAGCTTTGACTTTCAAGGGACTCTGGATACGGCAGAGGACGCGTGGCGAAAGAAGCTGGGAGTCGTGCAAGTTGATAACACAGGGGTAGACACCGACATTCTGACGACTTTTTATTCGGGGCTTTATCGATCAATGATATCTCCTCAGGATTATACTGGAGAGAATCCACTGTGGGAGAGCAGTGAGCCTTGTAAGTCTCATATAAATCCTCGCTACAGTGAATGAAGCTCTGCGATGCTAATCGTGGCAGATTATGACTCTTTTTACTGCATCTGGGATTCATTCCGCAGCATTCACCCGTTAATTACGCTTGTCGACCCATACAGCCAAACACAAATGATTCGCGGACTCATTGACATTTACCGTCACGAGGGAAAGCTGCCCGACTGTCGCATGACTTTCTGTAAAGGCTGGACACAAGGAGGTAGTAACGCCGATGTGGTTTTAGTCGATGCGTATTTGAAAGGACTTCATCAAGGTATCGACTGGCAGACTGGATACGAGGCGTTGATCTCGGACGCCGAAGGTACGTACCTTTTCATGTCTTGAAACAGGACTTCATACTGACCTACAAGAAGACGAGCCTGTGAACTGGGGAATTGAGGGACGTGGCGGTCTGACCAGCTGGAAGACGCTTGGATATATTCCCACTGATGTTTTTGATCCCAATGGTAAGCTGAATTCCGTCCATTGGACATTGTAGCAGCGGATACTTACCCAGGAGTAGGAGTTGGTACCTTCTCACGATCCATCTCGAGAACCGTCGAATATGCTTACAACGACTTTTGCATTGCCGAAATTGCCCAGTCTCTCCATAAGACAGCTGATTCAGAGAAATATCTTAAGAGATCTAAAAACTGGAAGAATATGTGGAACCCGAACCAAAACTCATATATCTACGTCAACCAATCTGATGGCTCGACCGGCTATGTCGACAGTGGCTTCTACGGCTTTCTGCAGCCGAGATATTTGAACGGCACGTTTGGATATCAAGACGCTATGCTATGTTCACCGATGTTTCAGCCGGATGCTTGTTATTTGGTTCCTACCGGCCACGAGGTGAGAATTCTTTTGCATCTCCTCAACTCTGGAGTTGTATCGCAGCCCCGACCCACTTACCCCAGACAAACACGCCCACAATGACGATCCCGCATAGTGACTTGAAATTTTGGCTACGTCTTCTTAATTACTAATTCATTTCTTTAATTCTAGACTTATGAGAGCAGCAGCTGGCTCTACACATTCTTTGCTCCTCACGACATGAGCGATCTTATCACCACCCTTGGCGGCCCAGACACATTTACCAAGCGCCTTCAATTCCTCCACACGACTCCAAATTTACTTTACTTTGGTGACGAGCAAGCTTTCCTTTTAGTCTTTCTCTTCCACTATGCTGGTCGTCCTGGCTTGTCCTCGTATTTCAGCCACTACTACATCCCTTCGCTATTCAACGCCAACGTAGACGGCATCCCTGGCAACGACGACTCCGGCGCCATGGGCGCTTTCAGCACTCTTGCCATGATGGGTATGTGGCCAATGGGCGGACAAAATGTCTATCTTATCTTGCCCCCATATTTCCCAGAGGTGAGCATCAAAAACGGCCTGACGGGCAAGACGGCGACGGTGAAGAACATCAACTTTGATGGAGGGTATGAGAACATTTACATCCAAAGCGCGAAGCTTAACGGAAAGCCGTATACGAAGAGCTGGATTACGCATGACTTCTTTGCGAATGGAGGCGTGTTGGAGTTGACGCTGGGGAAGAATGAGAGCAGCTGGGGCACAAGCTCGTCTAGTCTGCCACCTAGTTTAGATCTAGACATTTAGATTTACGAGTGGAATAGCGTAAAAGGCTAAGCAAATGATTCACAAAGATTTCAAGATCTTATTGGCCTCTTTCCTTTTGGCTGCTGCGAAAAATAAGTGATTTGATGTCGATATTGTAGCCTCCTGCTGGAGTAGAGTATCATTGGTATAATTGTATATAAGCATTAAGCACCCACCACTCGTTACTCGATGATGATGTCCTCCCCCAGCTTTCTCAACGGTAATCTTCCCAATAAGCCGTCCAGCCTCCCAGAGCTCCTCAAAACATCCTTTGCATCTTCTGGAAAGGCCATTCTCATCCTCCCCACGCGCTCCCATGACCCTCTTCCCGTCCTCTCCACAACCAGCAGCATCACCGTGGCCTCTTCCACAAACCACAGCACGCTCATCTGCTCTCCCTTTCCATGCCGCGTTATGTACTCCTTGATGCTGCCAATGCTGTTTTCGCCTCCCTGACAGGCGGTTTCTGTCCCGCTGCCTCGACTCATCCGCACGTCAACGCTGAGGCCACTGAACTGCCAGCCTTCGGAATGAGTTTTTGCCTTTACGCGGTCCAATACTAATGGATCTTTCACGCGGAGGGCATATCTTGCTGGACGGAATCGTGGGGGCGAACTAAGCTGCTCTGCGAAATCGTACACCACAGAACCGTCTGGCCCAAGCACCGTCATCTCTGGCGAGTATGTCCACTGGACAGACGATGGCTCGTTTCTCGTCAGCTGTGTTGCCGTCACATAGTGATGAGTGAATATCTTTCGACTTTTCACTCTCGTCTCAGGATCGGCGGCGATTGTTACGGATGAAAAGAGCTCAACTGGGCCAGACCATCCTGCCCACGACCAACTCGGCAAATGATTCCTTCGTTGCGGCTGTGTGCCGACTTTATGATGCCAGAAGCACATTGACAATGCGAATAGATGTCTTGTCCTCGGCATGCCATTATTTTCTTCCGATGGCTCTGTCGGTGCCCATATTGGGATACCCACCAGATCGCTCAGTTTTCCCCTTCCAAGCGTGTTCTCCAGTTCTCGCCAAAGACCCAAGCACGCATCCAACGAATCTTCGTCCCGGCTCAGATTCCTATTTGTGTATTTCGTAATATGCTGGTCTACTTCACGGAACAGACTCAGCGTGCTCGCCTCTCCCAGCTTCTGAGGTAGCTTCTTCCACCGCTCCCAGCTGCCGTCCATGTATGATACCCCGTTAAATAGGCCGGGACGCACGAAATCGCACATACGCTTCTCTGTCGGATCGTGGTAAAACTCAAGCGGTAGGTCCAAAGTCTCAGGGCACGCCAAACCCTCGCACTCCCAGTACATTTGCTGCTCTGTGAAAACCAGTCGTCGCCGGGAGAGAAGTCCTTCTTGATATGTCCATCCTCGAGTGTACCATTTTGAGCCCTCAACGAGAAGGCGTGGGTCCTGGAGACTTGAAACGAGAGTCACGTTAGATGTAGTAAATTTGTATTTTGGTTGAGTTGGTCGCGTTGTTGATCCAACTCCCGGCAGCCCGTGCATGGCATTGTCGCCAGCAGCGGCGATTATTGTGAATGCAGCTCCTCTGTAAATCTCATCCATTCGATGGAGATGCCCCCTCCTCTCTTCCACATTTGTGCTGTCTATGCAGAAGCGATCTACCCAGAGATATCTGAAGCCGAGTTCAAGCGCTACTGTAGCAGCATCTTTAACAACACGCGGGAAAGTTCCATCCTCTTTCGCATCGCCCCATACGTAACTCAGCGCTACAAAGTCTTCTCGCAGGGATGCTTCGACCACCCGTGGAGGAGATTGGCCGCAATCGATGAGTCTGAATCCCTTGATCTCAGCTTGAACCGATCTCCGCGAACATCGTCCTTGGTGGTGATTGTCGCAAAAGTGAAGCCACTCTCGCACAAGGCTTAGATCGGCATTCTTCCCGATTTCTCGTCCCCAGACCCCTCTCTGCGGCCAGAAAGCATCATCGGGTAAATTAAATGTTGGTGATGGTTGTGGTGAGGATGTTTGAGATGGAGCGGTTAATTTTCTTCCTCCACCGCTTCTTCCCCTCGCAGTGTCTACCAACATCTCAGGCCTTGTTCGAAGCAGCATGGCCGATTCGCGGAACCATTCAGAATCTACGTCAGGATCCTGTCCATTGTGAGCCTTTGTCTTGGAGATGACCGAGAAGAAAGCTGGACTGAGCCCCTTGGCTCGTCCTTTGGCCGGGTGATCCTGCATCTTGGCTGAGTCGATGAAGTAGCTCGTATCTCGCGTTGACAAGGCCACCAAGTTGTACTCTCCGGGCTCTTTACTGGGAACATGAACCTCCCAGAACAGCTTACACATCGGACAAGTTGCCGACCAGCGGTTCTCCTCCAGAAGCTTCAGCCGTGATACAAAGTGCTCCCGTGTCTCAAAGTCTGAAGCCCCGCCGTTAGCTGGCTTGGTGAAAGTTGCGTCCACCTCATCCAGAGTCTCTTCGATTTCAGCGGCTATCCGCGCGCAAGCCTCGCACAGCGCCGGGTCGCGATTCACGCCCATGGCCGAAGGGGGCCTCGAGTTTGGCCGTGAGCCCGAGGCGGCATCTGAGTGCGCCGACGGCGATCGGCTCTTCTGTCCGCTTAGCCGGCGGATCAGTGATGAGCGCCGCGACCCGGTCTCGCTGCCACCCGGAGACGAGTCGACGGTGAGATGCTGGATCATGTTGCGCAGGGGGTTCTTGGACCGGCGACGCCCCGTCTCAGAAGCGCCGGGAGATGCGTCTCTGGGGTCCAGATGATCAGCCATTGTGCATTTTCCAGGGATCGAATCTGTCGGATCTGATACGAGGCACTGTGCTGTTGGGCTCTGCAAGAAGCAGTGTCGTTCGTAGTTATCGTCGAGCTCTCCTCTGCGGTGCTTTGGGGCTGCGTCAAAAGGGGCAGAGGGGCACAGGTGTGTTTTATGTTATAATGCTGGCTTGTTATGGCTGAAATGCCTGGCTCCTAGCGGCTAGAGTTTTGGAGGATTGGAAAGGAGCGAATGTGTTGAAATAGCTTCAAGCAGCACAAACAGGGGACAAAAGGGTCCGTGAGTCTAGCGAGGGGGTTTCACTCCGTCCAAAGTGGTGGCGGCTTTTAATGAATCAGTTGGTATTTTAAGATCCTGTTCCATGTAGTAGGAGCTGTAGGAGCTGGGCGACGGGGATGGAGAGATTATACTATTAATGCAAGCGAGAAAGAGTGTATATATCAACGTGAATGGGGAGCAGTCAAAGATATAAACTCGCGAAAAAAAGAAGTCGTATACGCAACTGTATACATCCATGTATCCATCTTTCTCTACTCCCTGGCCACATCATAGACCAACAATCCACCCACAAGTGTTACGCATCCTTTAGCACTGTGCCACTAACAAACGCAACTGGAGTGAAAGAAGGGAAAAAACTCACAATTCGCCCCCTTCGCATGCAATGTGGAGTTTGCTTCATTTACTCTATTAATAACTTGCAATCTTGCTGTGCCGCCCAGCGAGATAAATAATTGATCCCATAGGCATTGAGGCGCAGGGCTGACGATGGCCACCCTGGCCCAGGCGCATTTCCCAGCAAGATTTGGGTGGAGAAAGGAGACAAGCTGCTGAGATTGCACATGATTCTCGTCGCAATGGATACCTCATGCATCAATGCAAAGCTTAGCTCTTTGACTCTTGTAAAGAGGCATTGAGAAACTAGTTTTCGGGCTTCGGCACAGGCACAAACAAACGCCCCATCCTAGCGCAACTCCATCAATCCAATCATGGTTTCTGAGAGTTGGCGCCGGCAGCCAATTCTGGCGGCACGCGACTAGAAGATTCAGGCAGCATAAAAGCTCCAAGCCGGTAGCACCATCTGCTAGGCAGTGGCTGGGCGGCTAACAGGACGTTGAAACGGTCTAGGATCTCGCATAGTGGCTGCTAAAGCGCTGTCAAACGCGTGCTCATCCGCACCTACAGTACAATTCGATGTTGTGGGCGGCTCGTCCTCTGATCGCCAACAATAGCTTCGACCAACATTCCAGAAGTGGTGTTTGCCTTCCACAAATCTTCGGCGCTTACAAGTATGCTAGGCTATTGCCTGACTTGGTTTCTCAGCCTCGCTATTAGCTCGTCTCAGCTCGTCTTACAATAGACTACATGTATGTGATCAGTATACCAACCAGCAAGAGGCGCATGTAAGAGGAACCGAGATCCGCAATGTGCCATTTTGACAGCAGCCCAAGCGTTAAACCTGATGGCCTCTGGTCTGGTCTGCTCTTCGATCTTAGGCTAGTATCTCTTTTCGATATCGACGGATCACATAATTGATGCCCGAGCGCAAAAACTTCTTCCATAGAAATAGATCCCATATTCTAAGCCACCTTTTGCTCACTAGCAGCATCGTGCCAGCAGCCACGACCCCATCCCGCTCCCCGCTTCTCTCCACCCGCATCGATCACAATGGCCTGCAGCTTGCTTTTTACAGTGTAGGTCAGTCAGCTAACGCTATGATGTTTACACCAAAAAGAGGCGAAGCTTAGGCGGTAAGCTGAAGCTGTCTTCCAAAAATACATAATAGAGCGTATCGGTACCGAGCTTGCGGACAATGACCGAAACCAAGAAAACAAACCAAGAGTTACTAACAACTATGAGAGGCTGCGGCAGAAAGGTTTCTTTAGGCTATCAGATGAACGAAGCGAACTGCGCTTTAGACCAGTGCACATTTGTTACTACCTACATGCATAACATGAACTCAGTTAGTACGGCTATTACATGCTGTAATAAGACAGTTGTCCTGGTCCAGCAGCTGATGATAAAGCTTAGCAAAGAAAGTGATATTGCAGCTTGCACAATTGAACTATTCCAGATTTTCCCTGCTACTTCCACGGATTGTGCATTAGCCTTCGTAGTCCTCTCTACGCCTCCACAAAAGATGGCGAAGCTGGCAATGTCTCGTATTGAGCTTTGTACACAACATACCTAAAGAAGCATTTCGTACAAAAAAATACCGAAATACACCTATTGATCGAGTTTACGTTGCATGTACAGGAATAGATTCGCATAGTTTTTTCCCTGGTGTATGTATTTTTAATTCTAGTTTATAGTCTACGCTCCTCCAACGCCGCCATCGTGCGTCAGCGTAATAAAGACAAAAGGTTGTCATCAACACTTGCCTACATTGACACTGATGTCATGTTTCTAGGTGATGTAGTCTGTAGATAGTGCAGGGGTAGGTAAGCCACCTGCATTCACTGTAAGCTCTTACCGACTGCTCCCTACTCCGTTACAAGCAAATTCCCAATCTGTACGCTCTAGCAATATGTTCTCACTTGGAGGAGCATAAAGACCTAGGAAACAAAGACAAACAGTCATCTTCATGTTGAATTTGTCATTGAAGCGACGAGTTCGTGAAACTCACTCAGTTTTGTTCAAATCTTCGATGCTATTTTTGGAATCATATAGGGTTGCAGATAGAGATATAAGCACTAGTGTCACATCGTCTCAGATCTATTGTACGCTGGATCAAAGCAACATGTATTCATCTCAAAAGCTCTGTGTTATAATTATTCACGCTTATTCAATATCCCTCAACTCGCTGCCACGCTTCGTCTGTTTCCCATCGCCAAGACGATCCGCGTACCACAGAAGCCTGCTCAACCACACAATGTGGCTTCATGGGCAGCATGCCAATGGTGTTTGCTTTATCGGTCTGGCGTATGATCATGATCAGTTTCAGGAAGCCTTACGCTCCTTTGAACTGTGATTCGTGTTAGGCACATTATCCAACTCTAGATCACCATCCCTTACCTTTATATGCCAATGTCCATTTGAAGAAACCAACAGAAATCTTGACTTTGTACTTCGGTATCTTCCACCAGGTTCGCAGAATTTGCCAAATTTGCCAGTTTCGCCAGTTTCGCCAGCTTCGCCAGTTTCGCCAATGTCGCCAGCTTTGCCAGCTTTGCCAGTTTTTGAAGCCAAATGACATCTTGAAAGTTATCATCAACACTGATAGCCCGAGTTTCAACTTCAATGGGCTTGGAAACAAGCCTATTTTGAAAGTAAAAACCCCTTTCGATTTCTTGAGCTTGAACCCCATTTTGCCACAGTTCGCGGAATTGAAGAACTTGTAGTGTAAGCATCTTGCGAAGAAGATACAGACGGATATGAGCCACACGTAGAATTCTAACCAATCCAGACTGTGATATAGATGTTTGAGACTGGGTGCGGGAACTCCCAAAGCGTCCAAAATCCGTGATTGCAAAGACATATTGTAAAGAACGAAAAGATGCTGATATTTATGTTACTGCTTGTGTAGAAGAAGCTAACTTCGATCAGTTGCGGTCATGAATGTCAAATTGAAGAAGAATCCACGCAGGTATTTTGGCATTGTCTGCTCATTTCGTGAGCTCTGGCATGTTTGAGCAAATCTGAAAAATAAAAACATTCTCCGTAGCAACTGCCCCAGTCGCATCTTCCCGACCACACTCGGCTTCAACAGTGATGCTGCCTGAGAAACTTCGACATTACACCAAATTAAAGTTCTACGGCGCTGTAATCCTGCTCTGTGTGAATCGGCGGCCTGTGATACCTGCCTTCAGCAACTCGAATATACGAGTCATCCGTTGAGGGTAGGCACGGATTTATTATTCTAATAAAATGTAGAAGCGGTAAAACGCATATACTCTCTATTAGCACGTTACCACTAGAGATTTGCTTGCATCGCCATCGTGTAAGTTATTAAATTTCTTGGTTTTGGATATGAGTCTTCTACTTAATCCTATAGATGACCATGTGATATTCTCGCTCCCAAACAGTAAACCAAATCTTCTACCCTACTAAATGCTGTCAAAATTTTCCAACATTTTCTGAATCACAAACTCAGCCTTCTCCAAAATCTTCTTTGCCTGGTTCTCATCATTCTCTCCTAGTACCCACCAGGGCGCAGCGTTCTCTATTATCTTTTCCAGCCACCATGCCATTTGCCACGCATCTCCTCTGACGCTCTTGGCTGGTGTAGCCACGCCGTTTTCCTCCAGGCGCTTCAGGTACGCGATGTAAAACTCCTTGGGCCAATCACCTCCGTCCAGCCAGTCATCCAAAAACTCGTCAAGAGGTGGAAAGAAGCCAGAGAACTCCCAGTCCACGATGCCTGTGATGCGTGGTGGGCTGCCCGTGACTAAGATATTTCGAGGGAATAGGTCATAGTGGGTAAATTGAAATGTGTCTGTCGGTATGGCGCTTTGTTTGAACATTCCATCAAAGTTGAGCTTTGGCAATCTTTCCTCACAGAGCAACTTGAGAGGGCCTAAGAGGTGTCGGTTGGGTGCAAATGCGTCCAATGATTCCAGCTGTCTCAACTTGTTATCCAGCTTGAGCTTGTAATATTCTTGCATAGTCGCAATTGGAGATGACAGCTTGATCTCTTCCACGACATTGCCTCGAACAGCCATCTTAGAGATGCCCGGACCAAATGGCCGATCAAGGGTTACTCCCTCTTCGGCGCCATTTGTCGACTGTTTTGCCTCTTCACGGATCTTGAGGCTTCCACAGTGCTTTTGGGCCGGGATGTTGAGGCGCCAGCTTGCTACAATATCAGCTAGCTGCAGTGCGAGATCCGTAATTGCTGCAGCATCTAGCTCCTCTAGATCAACGACCTTTCCCGATACTTTAGTCGTAAGAATCCATCCAATATCGTTTTTGCTTTCTGCGTCCGGAGAAACAAGTGCCTCGAGAGACTTCGTCTCCGCATGATCGGTAGAAACAAAGGTTGCTTCCGCTCCAGCTTCAGACCACGCAAGGACTCGCGGAAAGGCGAGATTTGGACAGTACAATTCCAGTAGCCGCAAACAAGCGACTTCGTTTTGCACTTTGTCGCCGTCGTATAAGGTGCCATTAATTTTGAGGACGGCGTCTGCTTCTCCAAGGGCAGCCGTTTTGTCTGCATGCTGCATCTTGAGGAAGTAAATTTTATTGTTGAATGATTTCCCTGCTCCTAGCGGTGTTACGGATTCCACCTTTGTGCCAGCCCACCCATTGCTCATGATCGCGGCAATGGCTTGCTCGCTCATGGAAACGCCATGCGATGGGTGACTTGTCGGAACTTCTGCAGAGTCGACATATCTGGGTTTTGTGTCATTAACGACGGTTTTGATGTTATCCATGGTAGCGCAAATCTTCCTGACGAAAGTAACAAAGATAAAAGGGAGGTTCAGCGAAAAAGCCAGTTGACTGTGTTTGATGTCTGTGGGCTGGGACAGACAATGGTAAAATAATAGAAAGAATTCCCTTTCTAAAAGAAAAATAAAGAAAACGAGAGGTCGATTTTCTACCAATCGACTGCGCCAATCAAGAATTGAAACTTGTCAGTTCAGTCCCCTTGCATACAAGCACCTCTGAGCCTTCTTTGCGTGGCTCTGGCTGATATAGAGTTCCTATTTGCACCTTGGATATGGAGACTGAACAAAAGGATTACCTCAGAGGCCAATGAAGTTAGTTCATGATACGTCATGCTGTACTAGTGGATTTCTCATTGTCTCAGAAGTTACAGAGGTAGGCGCTGCGATTTCCTGCTCTGAGGAGTCGCATACTCGCTGGAGTGGCCCCATGCCCCCGCTATGTATAGCGATCTACTAAGAATGTTTATGAAGATCACGTTCATTAACTTTATGTACAGCTTCCCTTGCTTTACTTTTTCTTCCCACTTTCTCCTTTCTTCTGGAAAAGAGTATCTCGTGCGTCCACAGCATCCTCAGCCGCCTTACTACTAGTGAATGAGCAAGTCACTCATAAAGAGTTGCATCCGCTATATGACCTGTATCTACCGCCTGGCTGCTGTTTCAGCAGTGTTGTTTTGGGATGAATTAATAAAAGAAAGGGCAGGAATTTGGTCGAATGGATGATAATGCTGCTAACGCCTGGGCGGTAAAGACAGTTCTAGCTGAAAGACGAATTCGGAAGCGAGATAAGCAAGAATACTGGAGCGGCTGAAACTAGCTTAAAATCGTTTTCTTGCGACTGCTGTAACTGGAAGAGAAGTACGAGATATACTCCACTACGATCTCTCTTCGATTGGACAGTTAGAGGGTATGTCTCGGATGTGCTCTTCCGATTCTTGGATTATGCGCATCGATTGGTGTTGTGAGTTGGGTACGGAAGCTGGGAACAGGGGCGAGAGCAGGATTACAATGGATGATGCATCGGCTCGCACCCTGTTTGTTTGCCTTTTAGCGGCCCTAGCCCGCATCAATCTTACTCAATCGCTGTCCCTGACTCGTCGGTGGGATTCCCCTGGAAGGATCAAGATCTCAGCCGCACGTTTGTCCCACATTCAGCTCACTGGAGTGGTCGGCGATCTACTGGGGCAAATCGCCACCACCGCTTCGGGGCGGCTCCCGAAAGGTTAGACGCTGCTCAGATGACACTTGGGACGTCTTTAGCTGAATTCAGGAAGAACTCAGGGGAGTATGGCGTAGTATCGTCATACCACCAGGTTGACAGGTCAAGCTAACTCAAAACTTCAGCTTTCAGCAAAAAGGGTGCTCGCGATAAAATAGTTTTATTATAAACTGTCCAAGAAAAATATCCATCAATTGATCAGCTCTCAGGTGGCTCTACGTAGAGTGTTTCTAAAAATGGTAAAAAGTAGGCTATGGAATTTCTTGCGCTGCTATTTTGATCACAATACATAGCTTATACGAGTTTATCATCTATTATAGCATAGACTTTGACGCTGGTGCTAGCTGGTAGAGCCCTTCAAGCATATGATTGTTAGCCATAGCCTTCGCCTGATTATTTATTATAGACTTACCGTAATTGAACTTGGAATGCTTCCACACCGTCATTGTTTGAAGTGCTGTGCCGGTAAGCCATTTTTCGAACTGGCTGCTGCTGAGTTTGCGGCTGAGAATAAATCGTATGTTTTCTCCTTTCGAAATCTGTAGTGACTGATCTCCGATGAACACAACCTGGTCTTCCACAGATTTGATGTTTGTGTGAAAAGCCTCTTCTTGGGGATCCCAAGTACCATTGAATGTCCATTTGTCTGCATCAAAAACGTCTGCGCCCAAAGCCCGATTAACATTGTTGATGCCATTGAGAGCAAATTGACGGGAGAGCCCATCCGACGTATCGTATGCGCGGGAAACAGTAGAGGCGTCTTTGTTGCCGTCAACTCCAATAAGAAACTGGATATTCGACGTGGATGAGCTGCTGGTATATGCAGTCGTGATGCCGTTGACAAGATCCTGGAACTCATTCACTGGCTCGTTTGCTAAGCTGCTTCCCAGCCACAATACTGTGACTCTTTTCCCGCGAAGAAATTGCTGATTCGCCACCCAAGAAACGCCATCCTGATAAGTCATGCATAGGGGATGGCAGGTCACATAAGGCGAGTGGCCCAAGTATGAACGAAGCCCTTCGAGACTTTTTGCCAAGGACGATGCGCAAAGATCAAGCGCAAAGTATGTTACGGGTATCTCCCGTTTGGCAAACTCGCCAAGGATGATGGATGTCTTTGATAGCGACCTAGGATTTAATGGCGTCAATAACAGCATAAATATGCAATTGGAGCGCTCATTCAGAGAACATACCCACTTCCTAACTCCAAAATCACCCCATTAGCTCCAATCGACTGCACTATTGCGTCGACGTTATTGCGGATAACATCTGCTTCGACACGAGTGAGGTAATAGTCAGGAGACTCCGTGATTTTCTCGTATAAATTAAGACCGACAGAGTCCCATAACAGAAGAGATGGTAGAGATCGAGGTGAAGACCTCAAGCCTTGGCTGATGAGCTGCTGAATTTCATCATTGTCGGAACTTCGAGTCTCATCTGATGTTTGCTCCTGCAATATCTCATCGGCCGAGGACTTTACGGGCCTCTCGTGCTCCCTTTGCCCATAGTGGTTTCGACTCTCACTTAATCCGCTGTCTAATCCCATGATTTGCCGTGGCGGATAGAACTGACAGCTAAGATGAAGCGGTAGTTAGATAAGATGATATGTTCAAGTTCTCAAGTGACTGGTAACATCGGACGTTGTGCAGTGATAAGCAAAAGGGCAGATGATAAACTGTGAAATGGGGTTTTTTGATTCCACTAGTATCATCCACAAGCCAAGTCTTGGGAGAGCTTACTAGAGACGTAATATCTTCTGTTGTCAATATGAGGAGGCTTGTTTCGGTTAGCTAGTAAGCCAGTGTTGCTGTGTAGTAGACCAAGAAGACAGAAATGAAGGGTTGGACGTCTCTACCCCGTTGAATAAGCTTCATAAGGGTTATAAATAGCTGCAAACGGGAGCTCCATCAAATTCCACGGTCATATAGCAAGCACTCTCTATACATTACTAACGTCATGGGAGTCCCTGACAGGCAAGTCTCTAACCATGTATCCTAACCACTCCCTCGATACAGTAAACAGATCCGCTAATGCCTCTCTCGGGTAGCACTAATAGCTTCGGCACTTTTCGCGCAAGCTTATTGTGCCAGAAAGCAATGTGCAGCACGCCATCGTATGAGTAATAATTTCACAGGTACATATACCATGACTTCACAACACAGATAATATTGTGGAGTTTGCGGATGCCTCATCCTATCAAGAGACCTAAGAAGCAATTCACTAAGCCAAGTACTAGTGCTTCGAACAAGCACGCGAGAGGCTTCTGCAGGGAGGAAAGGCTCAGGCGTCATAGACCCATAATGCCCCTGACCCAAACCGCTGAAAGAAAAGTGCCTTGTTTTCCAAAGAGCTGAAAGGTAAGACAAATGTCTCAGTTGTCAAGCCAGCCACCGACTAGACTAAATGTAGTCTTCACAGCATCTTTCTAGCACGAGCAGACCGTTGCGCCGTAGTGTATCTGGGTTTAATTGGCCATTATAACAACGTAGGCAGGGTTGTAAATTAGTTACTAATAACTAAAACTAAAACTAATTTTTTAGTTACTAATATTTTAGTAACTAATTATTTAGTTATTAGTTTAGTTACTATAATAACTAAAACTAAACTAAATAATTAG